CGGGAGGGCCCAGGGCCGGGCCGAGCTGCAAGTGCGCGCTGTGGGTCCGGAAGGTAGGCGGGGTGGGCGGTGAGTGACGGGGGCGGGGCCGCGCGTCACCCCGCGCCGGCCGCGGCCGAGCCCCTGCACCGCGGGCTCCCAGCCGATCGTTCTCCCCGTTATCCTTGGTCGCGCCGTCCGCCCTCTCTTCCCGGTCGCATCTTTCATCGTTTACTTCCCTTAAGAACTCACTGTATTCTTCCCTCGTGTCTAGCTTTCCCTCTGTCGTCTACCGCAATCCCGCTTCACCCCGGGAATCCACACTCTCCCTTTCCCAGTCTTCACTTACACTTCTCAGGCAGCCTGTTCCGCTCAGTCCCTCATTTGAAAACCTCCAGGTTGGGGCCGGGGATTTAGCTCAGCGGCACAGCGCCTGCCTGGCAAGCGCAAGGTCGTGAGTTCGATTCCCGGTACCGGAAAAGACAAACAAACAAACAAAAAAAACAAACCCAGAAAACTTCCAGGCGTTGAAAGCCTTTGTCATTCTTAGGAAGTTCCTCTCTCCTCCCGCTAAGACATCCATGCGTACGCTTTACCTGTTCGCATTCCCAGCCACCTGTTTTTGGCGACGCCTAAGCCGCTCTCTTGTCAGTCTTTCCCGATCTCTTAGTTTTGTTCTCCCGTTCTGACCTCAGAGCATTCCCATCTTAGTTTGCTGTCCATTGTCCAGGTTCTCAGCTGCGGCGCTAGCCCCAAACCACCGCCCCCCTCTCCATGTCCCATCTGTTGTGTGTAGCTGGCCGTCTCAGCCGGACACCTGCTGGCCTCTGCAGCGTATTCTATACCCAGTGGTCCTGTCCGGGAACCTCTGGGTTGAGACTGCCCATTTTTTCTTCTTTTTACGGAAACAATGTAAAGTTGCCCTAAGTTGACAAAGTGTTTTTTTTCCACCCGCTTCCCTCTCCTGCATCAGAGTGTGTGGTCCCCTTCCTGACCCAGCCGAAGCTCCCTGTCTTGCAACTGGACAGTGGCAACTACCTCTTTTCCACTAGTGCGATCTGCAGGTCAGTGCTGGTCCTTGGTGTGGGGAGGTGGCTGGGTTAAAGCAGGCCTCGTTAAAGCTGTCCATTGCGTGTCTTATCTGCAAGCACGATTTCGCGAAGGGGTGAGAGAAATGGGCTAGATTCATGGGCCCCTCTAACTCTACCTTCTGTTGTTTTCACCTTGGACAGATACTTCTTTCTGTTATCTGGCTGGGAAGCAGATGACCTCACCAACCAGTGGCTGGAATGGGAGGCAACAGAGCTGCAGGTAGGACCAAGGCATGAGGGATGGCAGGTGCTCCCTGCTGTGCGTGCTCTTCCCGACCTTTGTCCCTTGCCTTTTAGCCAGCTTTGTCTGCTGCCCTGTACTATTTAGTGGTCCAAGGCAAGAAGGGTGAAGATGTTCTCGGCCCACTTGGGAGAGCTCTGACTCACATTGACCACAGTTTGAGTCGCCAGAATTGTCCTTTCCTTGCTGGGGTGAGTTGCCCTTCAGATGGGATTTGGGGAAGGCTTGTGGTATAAGGGTTAAGAGGAAGAACTGTATTCAGAGCGTTCAGATTCTGACTCCACTTGTGAGCAGTAAAACACTACAACTTCTTTGTTTTTGATTTTGTCTTTTTGAGACAGGGTCTCACTATGCAGTTCAGGCTGGCCTTGAGCTCACTTTGTAGCCCAGGCTGGTCTCGAACTTGCAATGATCCTCCTGCCTCAGCCTCCCGAGTGCTGCTGGGATCACAGATGTGTGCCAACATGCCTGGCTTAAAACTCTTTAATCTTAAATTTTTTCATCTGTGAAATGGAAGTAATGTGAATACCTGTGTCACTGAGGTGTTGTGAGAATTAAGTGAAATGAAATGTTTAACAGTACTTGGCATGTACCACGTGCTCAGTAAATATTAGATGTTGTTATTACTGGGAAAAATACGAGTGCCTCATCCACGTGTCTTTTTCTTTTTCTTCCCCAATCAAGGAGACGGAATCTCTAGCTGACATTGTTTTGTGGGGAGCGCTATACCCATTACTGCAAGACCCAGCCTACCTCCCTGGTGAGAACTGTGCATATCACTTCACTGTGAGCCTCAACCCCAGGAGCTTGGTGTCATGGTTACAGAGCAGGCAGTAGCGTATTGCGGGTCTACCTGAAGGTGCAGCTTAACAGGGCAACTATAACAGAACGGGCTGAAGGAACTAGTAAAAGAAATTACAGATTTTCATGAAGGAAAAAGAGCAGAATGCTAGGGGCTAGGGATATGGCTCAGTGGCGTAAGTGCCTGCCTGGCAAGCACAAGGTCCTGAGCTCGATTCCCAGTATCAAAAAAAAAAAGAACAGAATGCTAGGGCAGAAAAGATTAGAGGGCACTAATTTATTTATTTTTTTGTTTTTGTTTTTTGAGATAGTCTTGCTGTGTAGTTTAAACTGGCTTTGAATTCACGGTGTAGCCCAGGCTGGCCTTGAACTCGTGGTGATCCTCCTGCCTCAGAGGAGATGAGCTCCACTTCTAACTGCCCAGCCCGCTCCTTCCTCTTGCTGATTCTGTTTTCTCCCATGCCCACAGAGGAACTGGGTGCCCTGCGCAGCTGGTTCCAGACCCTGAGTGCCCAGGAGCCATGTCAGCGAGCTGCGGAAACTGTGCTGAAACAGCAGGGTGTCCTGGCTCTCCGGCCCTACCTCCAAAAGCAGCCCCAGCCCAGCCCACCCGAGTCGAGGGCTGTCAGCAATGAGCCTGAGGTTTGGAACGATGGGCATCCTCAGGGCCTTGGGGATGTTTTAGTTGATTGATAACACGGAAAGAAGTTCTTTATCTGATAAGGAATTCTGTCCTTCTTCCTAGGAAGAGGAACTGGCTACCCTATCTGAAGAGGAGATTGCTGCGGCTGTGACTGCCTGGGAGAAGGGCCTAGAAAATTTGCCCCCACTTCGGCCCCAACAGAATCCAGTGTGAGTAGGCACTGAGGAATGGGGCTTGATTCTGTGTGTACGGAAATTGTCGGCAGAGGAGAACCTACCAGATAGGCCTTTTGCATAGAACTTAGCCTCTAATAGGGTAGGCAGATATTTACAAAATGGTTACACAAGTGTACCGTTACTTTTGTTTTTGTTTTTGTTTTTTGAGACAGGGTACTGCTCTGTAATTCAGGGTGGCTTTAAACCTACCATGCAGCCCAGGCTGTAGTTCAGGCTGGCCTTGAACTTGCGGTAGTCCAGCCTCAGCCTCCCAAGAGCTGAGATTACAGGCATGCAGCACTATGCACAGCTTAATTACAGATGTTCATGAAGGAAAAAGAACAATGCTAGGGCAGAAAAGATTAGAGGGCACTAATTTATTTATTTTTTTGTTTTTGTTTTTTGAGATAGTCTTGCTGTGTAGTTTAAACTGGCTTTGAACTCACTATGTAGCCCTGGCTGGCCTTGAACTCGTGATTCTCCTGCCTCAGCCTCAGTGCTAGACTTATAGGCATGCATCACCATGCCCAGCCCAGATGATACTAATTCAGAGGCCTCTTTAAAAAGGAGTGTTTAAGCCGGGCATGGTGGTGCATGCCTGTAATCCCAGCATTTGCCTTGAGTTTGAGGCCAGCCTGGGCTACAAAGTGAGTTCAAGGCCAACCTAAACTGCAGAGTGAGACCCTGTTTCAAAAAAACCAAAAAAAAAAAAAAAAAAGAAAAAAACATTTAAAACTTGTAAGATTGCTGGGCATGGTGGTGCATGCCTGTAATCCCAGCACTCAGGAGGCTGAGGCAGGAGGATCGTTGCGAATTCAAGACCAGCCTGGGCTACAAAAGTGAGCTCAAGGCTGGCCTGAACTGCAGAGCAAGACCCTGTCTCAAAAAGACTTGCAAGATGGTCGGATGAGGAGAGTTAGGCAAGGGTAAGGGTAGAGAAAGGAGGTTTTAGATAGAAGAAGTGTGCAAAGCCCTAAAGGACAAGAGTTTGGCTCTTAATAAGGAATTGATGAACTGCGGCTGAGTGTGGTGGCCCATGGCTGGAATCTAGTAGTCTCAGCACTCAGGGAGGGTGAGGTGGAAGGACTGAAAGTTTGTTCAAGGCCATCCTGGACTGCCCAGTGAGAACTTGTCTCAAAAAATCAAGTAAGTAAAAATTTAAAGGGCTAGGGGTATAGCTCAGTGGTAGATCACTTGCTGACCTTGCATGAAGGCCTGTCTGGATTCACTTCCTGGCAAGCCTCCCTTAAAAAAAAATTGATAAAAGGTCAGTGAATAGAGTGTGGTTAGTCAATGCGCAAATGACTCAGTATGTGTTTTTTGGCTTTGGGGTTTTTTTATGGTGCTGGGGATTGAATCCAGGGTCTTGTACGTGCTAGGTGAATGTTGTACCACAAAGCAGGCACTGGGAAGTCAGTAGTTAATTGAAAGAAGATTTTCCTGAAGGAGCAGATTTCTAAGCTGGATTTTAGAGATAATTATGGTACTTAATTATGAGGAGAAAAGACAATTAACTAGGAGAAATTAGGTCCATGTTGAGTAAATTCGCTGTAAAATTGCCAGGTGTGACGGCATACACCTAAAAGTCCCAGCGCTTAGGAGGCAGAGGCAGGAGGCTCACCGTGAGTTCAAGACAGTCCTGAACTACACAGCAAGACAGTCTCAAGAAAAGAGTAGTTTTCCATTGTTGACCTCTTCTTTCCCGGTGCTATGTCAGTAGCATCCCAGTCACCAGGACTGGGATTACCGGCGTGTGCCACCAGGCCCAGCTCTAGGAAACTGTTCTTGAATAGTGACAGCAGTGATGACTAGACAGAGCTGAGGGCGAGTTTTTCACTACCTGGGAAGTTTATAAGTCCAAGAACGAGCTAACGGTCACTGTTGTAAAAGGGGCAGAAATGAGTGTTGGAGTGAGGCCCGCACCGCACACGCGGCAGTCTGTGAGGCTTGCTCCCTGTCCCCTGCGCTGCTGTTCTTTCGCTCTTTTTTTTTATTTATTTAACAGTTGCTTTTATTTATTTATTTATTTATTTAGTACTGGGAATCAAACTCAGGACCTTGCGCTTGCCAGGCAGGCGCTTGTACCGCTGAGCTGCATCCCCAGCTGTTCTTCCTTGACCCTTGTGTCTCCCCTGCGCACTCTCCTTTCCTCCCTTCCTCACCAGGCTGCCGGTGGCTGGGGACAGGAACGTGCTCATCACCAGCGCCCTTCCTTACGTCAACAACGTCCCCCACCTGGGAAACATCATCGGCTGTGTCCTCAGTGCTGATGTCTTTGCCAGGTGGAGCCCGCTGCCGGAGGAGAGACCCTGAGGGAGGGTTGGGCCCCTTGAAGCAGTACTTCAAGCGTGGGCGCTGGCGGGATCCTGGGGACGCGGGAGCTGCAGAGTAGGGCCCCCGTGTAATTACGTGCTCTCTGCCAGGTACTCCCGCCTCCGCCAGTGGAACACCCTCTATCTGTGCGGGACCGATGAATATGGTACCGCGACAGAGACCAAGGCTATGGAGGAAGGATTGACCCCCCAGGAAATCTGTGACAAGTATCATGTCATCCACGCCGACATCTACCGCTGGTTTAATATCTCGTTTGATACTTTTGGTCGCACCACCACTGCTCAGCAGACCAAGTAGGTTTTCTCTACTGAGGCAGAAGATGGGCTTGAAGGCTGGGAGTGGGGACCGTGAGACTCCTGTGGGGGAGAAGGAATCAGGCTAGCGGATTCCTGAACCTAGGAGCTCCTAAGACAGCAGCTGAATGTCGCCCTCAGGTGTCTCCCAGGCGGTTAGGGAGTCTTCCCCAGGGGATTCGGCGCCTGTGGAATTCTGACCAGGGTGCCAGGGAGTGCCCGAGGAAGGGACAGGACTTACCTGTTCTCCCTCCTGTGCCTCCTTTCCTCTGCGGCTCCCCCAGGTCTTCAGACAGTCCTCTCACACCTGTGTGTGCTGAGAACAAACACACTGGTTCTTTGCTTCATACTCGTCCTTAAGAAGCCTGCCAAACACGCTGCCAGCTGATACTTCTGTGTGGCTCCGTACCTGGACTGCCTAAAGGGCAGCCACAGCGCCGAACACAAAGCAGATTAGTCTGAATTCCACAAAAGCCAGTTCTCGAGTGCTGAGGGGAGACTGTGGTCAGCTGGGAGATAAGTAGATGGCCTTGGCTCTCAGGGGCCTTCTCCTTGACTCTTTGGTTCTTGGACCGAATGAATCTGGGTCCGTGGTTGGGTGACAGAAGGGAGGGGTGCGTACCCCCTCTGACTGTGCCTCCCCGTCCCTTGCTCACCTGCCAGAATCACCCAGGACATCTTCCAGCGGTTGTTGGCACGAGGCTTTATACTGCAAGATACTGTGGAGCAGCTGCGGTGTGAGCGCTGTGCCCGCTTCCTGGCGGACCGCTTTGTGGAAGGGGTGTGTCCCTTCTGTGGCTATGAAGAGGCCCGGGGTGATCAGTGTGACAAGTGTGGCAAACTCATCAATGCCATTGAGCTCAAGGTGAGAGGAGACCTCCTGAGAGCCCGGAGGAATGGCCTTGCATTTATTTATTCATTTCTTTTTGTGTGTTTTAAGACTGGGTCTTCGTGGTTCAGGCTGGCCTTGAAACTCAGTAGCAATCCTCTTGCCTTAGCCTCCTCGGTGCTGGGAACATAGGTGTGCGCCATCATACCTGTCACTGAAGGAATAATTTTTTTCTTTCCTCTTTCTTTCTTTCCTTCTTTCTTTTCTTTTCTTTTCTTTCTTCCTTCCTTTCTCCCTTCCTTCCTTCCTTTCTTCCTTTCTTCCTTTCTGTGGTGCTGGGGACTGAACCCAAGGCCTCAGGCAAGTAAGTACTCCACCTCTGACCTACATTCCAGCCCAGTTTTTTTTTTTTTATTCTGAAGGGACTCAGCCTTGTCCCAATCAAGATTTTTTTTTTAAACAGGCATGGTGGTGGCTCATGCCTGTAGTCCCAGCACTCAGAGAGGCTGAGGCAGGAGGATCTTCGTGAGTTCGAGACTGTCCTGGGCTACAAAGTGAGGTCAAGGCCAGCCTGAACTGCATAGCAAGACCCTGTCTCAAAAAGAAAAAAAAAAAAGATTTTTTTTTTTGGTACTGGGAATAGAACTCAGGACCTTGCACTTGCCAGGCAGGTGCTTGTGCTGCTGAGCTATATCCCCAGCCCTTGTTTATTTTTGAAACAGGGTCTTCCTATGTAGTTCACAATGGCCTTTACATACTGTGTATCCCAGACTGGCCTCAAACTCAGTCAGTGATCCTTCTGCCTTAGCTGCTGGAGTGCAGGGATTACAGGTGTGCATCACTACACCCAGCTATTCAGGATTTTTATTTTAGCATCCAAAACCTTTTCAGTAGCCCTTGCTGCTTCATCTCAGCAACTTGTAATTCACTTCATTTGAAATTTAAGCATTTAGCTAGGAAGTAGACAAGTTGAATTTATGCTTCTAACCCGAATTCTAATCCTACCATTTAAGCCACTTGATTTACATTTGTTTAGATTCTTTTCTTTTGCATAATTCTGTCTTGTGTTTACTAAATGTTTATGCATTCATTTATTTGGTGAACTTTTTTGAGTGCTTACAATATGTCAGTCACTGTTGTAGAGGTTGAGGGTGAGGGAGTGTCTTTAGTTACTTTTTTCTCATTGCTGGGACAAAAATACCCAATGCCCAAAGTTAAAGGGAGGAAAGATTTATTTAGCTCACAGTTTGTGGAGGTTTCAGTCCCTAATCAGCTGGCTCCGAGGCAGGGTGGCATGGCAGAGGAGCAACAGTTCAGCAAAAGCAACAAGAGAGAGCGTGAGGCAGGCCTCTTCCTGTCCCTTTTATCTTATCCAGACTGCTGGGATTAGGGTGGTGTGAATCCAGTCAGTGGAGGGATCCAGCAATCACCCACCGTTAATCCCATCACCCTTACTCCCAGCATTGCCCTATGAATCAGTTACAAACTGTAGATTCAGCTTCCTCTGAAAAAGCCTGCCCCTCATGACTGCATGAGGCGTTTTAGACACAAACCGTCAACAGGGAGTGTTTTTTATCTAAAGCCACAGTAAATGAGGAAATAACATAGGATAAACTTCCAGACAGAGAAAGTGGACTTTTAGGGGCTGGGGATTTAGCTCAGCGGCACAGCACCTGCCTGGCAAGCGCAAGGTTGTGAGTTCAATTCCTGGTACCAGAAAAAAAAAACAACAAAAAAACCCCCACAAAAACAGAAAGTGGACTTTAGATGATTAGACAAGGTCTCCCAGAGGAAGTAATATTTCAACTGGGAGCTTAACTGAAGAATGAGAAGGAGCAAATCAAGCAGTAAATGGAATTAAAGAGTATTTCAAGTAGAAGGGACTGGAAAATGTAAAGGCTCCGAAGAAGTAGCAAAGAGTTGAAAAGGTACAGCTGAGTGTGGTGGGGCATATTTGTAACCCTAGCATTTGGGAGGCTGAGGCAGGAGGATCACTGAATTCGAGGGCAGCCAGAGCTACATAGGAAGACCCTGTCTCTAAAGAACAACAACAGCAGCAGCAAAGAGCTGAAAAGGCAGAATTGGAAAAGCCACTTTAATGCCATTACACTCCTGTAACCCTGGCACTCAGGAGGATTGCCGTGGGTTAGAGGCCAGTCTGGACTGTATCGAGACCCTGCCTCGAACCCCCACCTCAAATCCTCACCGCCCCTGCAAAAGCCACTGTAGCTAGAGCATAGTGAATGAAAAAGAGAGTAGGCTGAGATGAGGTCAGAAAGAAAGATGGGCACCAGGCCACCAGCACCTGCTGAGCCATAGAGGAAACCAGATTTTATTCTAGCTGAGTGCTGAGCAGCTCTGTGGAGAACAGATAGGAAGGAAGCCAGAGAGAAGCGGAGAAGGGTTAGAGGCCGGAGCCAGAGATGGCTCGGACTAGCTAAGTGCCAGTAGAAACGGGTGGAAAATAGATTGGAGATACGTTTTGGAATAAACTGTATAGAGCCAGATAGACTGGGAGAGGTCCTAAGAGAGTGAGTTTCCTCAAAATCCCTTGGAGCTGGGTGTAGTGGCGCATATGTGTCATCTCAGTACTTGGGAGGCTGAGGCAGGGGGATCGCCACAAGTGCAAGTCTGGCCTGGGCTGTATAGTGAGTTCAAGGACAGCCTGAACTACATGGCTAGACCCTGTCTCAGAATAAAACAAAAACAGCTCTCTTGGGAGTCTTCAGTGATCACCGTCGTCTGTTCACTTCTGTGGCCCTCACGCTTCAGTGTTTATACAGTCAATTTTTGCCACACGAGTATTTGACAGTTCGCTTTGTAAAAATCTACACTTCTTACGCAAGCCCTCTCTCCCTGACTTGCGTGTAACCTCAAGGAGAGGGGCTGTGTGTCTTACTCTGTCCCCCTCCTTCCCTCGCACAGCTAAGCGCAGTGTGGTACCCGCCCCTTGCCTGAGCTCAGAGAACGCGTTTCGCTTTTTGGGCATGATGGGTGAGAAATGTGCGGGTCTGGGGAGCAAGCGTTGCTGTGCACTGCAGACCTCCTTCTCCACGATGAAAGAAGGCTCAGTAGTTGAGGAGCAGGCTTGGTGTGAGGTGCTGAGCTAGAGGGTGGGCCACGGTGTTTGTCCCTTTATAGTTCTTCCCTGAACAGTTCCCCGTCCCTTTTGTGGGGTTGAGATATGTACTGTCTTACTGTAAACCGAGGTGGCCTTAAGCTCACTGTGTAGTGCATGCTGGCCTCAAACTCCCTGTGATCCTCCTGCCTCAGCCTCCAGAGTGCTGGGATTACAGGCATGCGCTACCATGCTCCTGATTGTTCCGCTGATCCTGACCCTGATTGTCTCACTGTGGAATTTCTTCACAGAAACCTCAGTGTAAAGTCTGTCGGTCATGCCCTGTGGTGAGGTCCTCTCAGCACCTGTTTTTGGACCTGCCTAAGGTAAGTGGGCCTTTCTCTGTCCGGTCTTCAGGATGTGCCTTTGCCCCGACTACCGCTGATGGCTCGTCACGCTCATGTGTTTCTAATTTCCATTAAAAATTAACACACACAGGGGCTGGGGATTTAGCTCAGTAGCACAGCACCTGCCTGGCAAGCAGAAGGTCGTGAGTTCAATTCCCGGTACTGGAAAACAAAACAAACAAAAAAAAATTACACATGCAGTTGTAGAGATGAGACGGAGTGAGGGACACAGAGCGAAAGCCCCAGGCCCGCTTGCCAGAGGTGTCCACGTCCCCTGGGAAGTTGATGAAGCACCCTCACCCCTAGAAGTGAGGGAAGGAAGTGCCAAAGGGGCAAAGGGCTGACCGTGGGTGCCGGGAGCCGTGAGCCCCTCAGGGAGGAAGCGAGTGTGGTGGCGCCGTCTCCAGGTCCGCAGGCAGAGAAAGGAGGGTTAGACGGGGCTGCATAGGTTCCTACGCCTTGTTTTCTCTTCAGTGCTTCTGCCGCGTGCTTTCTGCATCCTTCAGCTTGTGGTGGGAGCGCAAAGCCTGTTATCCAGGTGCTTTGCCTTAACTTCTTGCTCTGCTTTTTCCACATTTTTCTGGTCCGAGAGCTCGCTCTAGTTTCCAAGGTTACAGCCACAGCAGAATGCCTCTGTGGTTTTCCCTTTTTCTGTGCTACCTGAACCAATCATTATTACAGTGTTTTTCCAACATTGCTGCACCCTTCCACGTTTACCTTTAAGTTATCTATTTATCAAGTGTATATTTATAGATTTTTTTTTATAGATTATAATTCATTTCTGTCCTAAATTATTTTCACGTTCAGATTATACCTTATTTGCTCAGTGGGAGCTTCTTCAAGGTGTCTTTTTTTTTTGAGATCCTATAATTTTTTTTTTTTTTTTTGTCTTTTTTGAGACAGGGTCTTATTATGTAGCTCAGGCTGGTCTTTAGCTCACTTTGTAGCCCAAGCTGGCCTCGAACTCTCGGTGATCCTCCTGCCTCAGCCTCCCAAGTGCTGGGATTACAGGTGCACATCACCACACTGGGCAAATTTTTTAAGTGTTTAATTTCTGGCATGACAAAAATTAGCAGTATTAAAGATATTCCAGGTTCATTTTTAGTAAATTATAGTATCAGAGTCTAAAATTTGTTTGTTTATTATAAGAGTCTAAAATTTAGGTCGTGGATCTACTCATTGCTCCCAGGGTATCTTTGCTTCTAGGCCCTTAACAGCGAAGAGTTAAGCATTTGTTTTAGGTTCACATTGATATCTACAATTCAAAGCTAGCCTCGCAGGATTCTTTCTCACTTTCTTTCTTTTTTTTTTTTTGCCTTTTTTTTTTTTGAGACAATCTTGCTATGCAGTTTAGGCTGGCCTTGAGCTCACTTTGGAGCCCAGGCTGGTGTCGAACTTGCAACGATCCTCCTGCCTCAGCCTCCTGAGTGCTGGGATTACAGGCGTGCATCACTACACCCAGCTCTTTCTCACTTTCTTTCATTTCATATTTGTATCTTCTTCCCATAATGGGTACCCGAGTTCCCAAAAAGCATCAGCACATTTAAACATTTGCCCAATTCCAGAATATATCTGAAATAATTACAGAATTGCTTCTTCCTTACCTTTACATAAACAAACAAACCTAAACTGGTGAAGAGTTTAGAATTTGTTAGTGGTCCTGACCCCTCCTAGACTGAGGGTGTACAGTCAAATGTGTTCATAATTTATTTAGGTTAGTTTTTGCCCTGTTAGTGTAATTACATTACTGAGATGATGGCCCAGTGTATCATGATGTATATATTCTTTTTTTTACAAGGACAGTCTTTTTGAGACAGGGTCTCGTTTTGCAGTTCAGGGTGGCTAAGGCTGGTCTCAGATTTGCAGTGATCCTCCTGCCACAGCCTCTTAAGTGCTGGGTGTGCTGGGATTACAGACGTGCACCACATGTGGCTATTGTATACATTCTGCTACATTTTGCCTTTTTAATGGTTAACATTGTGTTCTGGAAATCACCCCATAATTAGTTCCTAAAGATTATTTTTACTCATCAGGTTTATGATGTTTATTTTCTTTCGTAATACTAGTGTTCTGTTCTTTTTTTTTTTTTTTTTTTTTTTTAATACTAGGGATTGAACCAGAACTTTTACACTGAAATACATCCCCAGTCCCTTTTATTCTTTGAGATAGGGTCTTGCTAAGTTGCCCAGGTTAGGCTTGAACTTGCCATCCTCCTCCCTGCTTCTCAGAGTGGTGGGATTACAGGCACGCAGCACCACACCCAGCCCATCTGTACACTGTGTGAATACTTCGTTGAATGAGTGTCTGTTAATAAATTCCTAGAAATGGAATTGCTGTGTCAGTCATGAGTCTTTTCATTTTGATATGTTGCCAACCTGTACTCCCAAACAGGTATACGTGTCTTTGTATGTTTAACTGTGTGTGACACTACCTAAGCCAACCCTCTTTGTCATCTCAGCTGGAAAAGCGACTGGAGGAGTGGTTGGGAAAGACGTTACCTGGCAGTAACTGGACACCCAATGCCCGGTTTATCATCCGGTCTTGGCTTCGGGATGGGCTCAAGCCTCGCTGCATCACCCGTGACCTCAAGTGGGGAACCCCTGTGCCCTTAGAAGGTTTTGAAGACAAGGTAAAAATTCTTTATGGCTCAAATTATCTGCCTTAGGGTTGAGACCATGGACTAACAAAAGGACTGTAGGTTATATCTTGTTCCCGTCTGAAGCTTTAGGTTGGCCCCTACCATGAGTCCTTCCTCTTAATGCTCCAGGTATTCTATGTCTGGTTCGATGCCACTATTGGCTACCTGTCCATCACGGCCAACTACACAGACCAATGGGAGAGATGGTGGAAGAACCCAGAGCAAGTAAGCGGCTCCTTGTTAGCTTGTGCGTGAGGAAGCTGTGGAGTGGGGAGTTGTGATTGGCCAGCTGGTGTTTCTGGGGCTTTTGAAGAGAGCCTCAGGAGGAACTATATTCTGTCAGGTGGACCTTTACCAGTTCATGGCCAAAGACAACGTTCCCTTTCATGGCTTGGTCTTTCCTTGTTCAGCCCTTGGAGCTGAGGACAACTACACCTTGGTCAAGTATCTCATTGCTACAGGTAAGTGTCCCCGGCAGACTGCAGATGGGAGGGGACTGGAGAACGAGGGCGGAGCGGTACTTGGAAGGAGATCCTCGGAGGCTGTTAGGTCTTGAGTTAGGAGCTGAGATAAGCAAGAAGACCCGAATGGATAGGAAGGGGCTTCCAGGTTCTCTGTAGACCAGCTACTGCGGGTGCCATGTTGCTGGAGACTCACTGCAGAGGGTGAAGGGAAGGGAAGACGAGTTAGTAGGTCACCAAGGGCAGGAACGTGATTTGAGCCGATGGTTCTCCGTCATCTGTCCAGAGTACCTGAACTATGAGGATGGGAAGTTCTCTAAGAGTCGGGGAGTGGGGGTGTTTGGAGACATGGCCCAGGACACAGAGATCCCTGCTGACATCTGGCGCTTCTATCTGCTGTACATTCGGCCTGAGGGCCAGGACAGTGCCTTCTCCTGGACAGACATGCTGCTCAAGAATAATTCCGAGCTGCTCAACAACCTGGGCAACTTCATCAACAGGTGAGTTGCCTGGGCTACTTCTGTCTCATTGATGAGACAAAACACCAGACGTCCAAAGTTAGAGGGGGACGGTTTATTTAGCTCACAGTGTGTAGAGGTTTCAGTCCATAATCCACTGGCTCCCAGGCAGGGTGGCTCGTGGCAGAGGGGAAACGGTTCATGGGGTAGAAGACACCAAAAGCAGTGAGGAAGGGAGAGCAGGCCTCTTTCCGCCCTTAATATGCAGGCTGCACACCCGAGGACGGGTGGAGAGCTCAAACCCTTGACCCCAGCATTAGACCATAAATCAGTCACAAACTCTAGATTTAGCTGCCTCTGAAAAGCAGCCCCCCATGTATTGGGGTTTTGCAGGAACATCCAGATATGAACCCTAAGAGGAGTCCTGGTGAGGGGTCAGTCAGCAGATGAGATGGGAAGAGGCCAATTTTCCCTGTGGAGATAGGAATGTGAAATAATAAGGGGACAGGAGCCTGTGAGGGACAAGGTAATGTGGAAAGTTGGTTTCTATCAACTGGGACCTGATCCCAGGACGTAGTAGTGCACATATGCTTGAGGGTAGTTAGCTCGAGGTGTAATTCTGCAGAGTTGGTCCACGAATGGATTTTTGTCTTGAGACGGTGTCACTGTGTTCATGGCTGGCCTCAAACTCAGTGTGTAGCCCGGGCTGGCTTCAAACTTGCTATCCTCTTGCCTTAGCCTCCCAGGCACTGGGATTCCAGCCACTGGGGCACCATGCCCAGCCCTTCCCAGAGGGGATTTTTACTGATAAAACATTCACCTGCAGCCCTGAAAAGTTTGGCTGAAAAAGAGGAGCTATGTTTGTGTAGGGATAGGGTAGTTCTAATACACTCTTCAGAGCTGCTGCGTTAGGCTCACATTCCACTCTTGGTCCCTAGTACAGTGATTTTACGATCCAAAGAATACACTTCATGGCTTAGGGTTCTTCAGTCCCTCTCCAGAGCCCTGGGTCTTGGCTCCGTCCATTTACTTAGCCTTTCAGGTTTGGTCATCAGCCACATTTAATAGATAAATCTTCCTTAGAGTACTTGTTTGATAGCAGTTTACAATAATACACTTCATCTTCTCTTGCAGATAATTTTTTTTTTAAATGTCCAGGCATAGATTCAATCCCCAATATGTTCACCTTCCAAAAATAAAAGGACAGTTTGCAACTTTATCAAGAGTCAAATTCTTTTTTTTTTTTTTTTTTGTAGTATTAGGGATTGAACTCAGAGCCTTGTGCATGCTAGGCAGGCACTCTACCACTGAGATCTGTCCCCAGCCATCAAAAGTCAAATTCTTAGAGGAGATAGAGAACAAAGAATTAATTTGTGCTGGGCATGGTGGCACACACTTGTAATCCCAGCAGCACTTGGGAGGCTGAGGCAGGAGGATCACTGAGTTTATGGCCAGACTGGCTACATAGTGAGTTAAAGACCAGTCTGAACTACATAGCGAGACCCTGTCTCAAGAAAACAAAACAAACAAAAAAACCACCCCCCAAAACCCCAAGAATTTAATCTTTGCTTTCTACTTTGAGGGGTCAGGAGGTATCAGTTGAGGGCAGGAATCCTGAGAGAAGGAAAGTTATGGAAATTGAGTCAAATTTATAAAAGGAGACCAGAAAGTAACTTTTTTCTCTTCTTTCCTATTCCCATCAAGAGCTGGGATGTTTGTGTCTAAGTTTTTTGGGGGCTGTGTGCCTGAGATGGTGCTTAACCCTGATGATCAACGTCTGCTGGCCCATATCACCTTGGAGCTCCGGCACTACCACCAGCTGCTGGAGAAGGTTCGGTGAGTAACTGCACCTCTGTCTCATCTCAGTGATGAGACACTGGCATGTTGAGACCTCCCCTCCTCCCCCAGGATCCGGGATGCCTTGCGCAGTATCCTCACAGTATCTCGACATGGCAACCAGTACATTCAGGTCAATGAGCCCTGGAAGCGGATAAAAGGCAGCGAGGCTGACAGGTACATTAAGGAGATAGGGTTGGCTCCCAGGATTAAGCAGCTGTCAGGCTGTGTCCTCCGGGAGGCCTTGGCTAATCTCATTCCTTCCTCAGGCAGCGGGCGGGCACCGTGACAGGCATGGCAGTGAACATAGCTGCCTTGCTGTCCGTCATGCTCCAGCCTTACATGCCCACAGTGAGCGCCACCATCCAGGCCCAGTTGCAGCTTCCACGACCTGCCTGCAGTGTTCTTCCCACAGACTTCCTGTGCACCTTACCAGCGGGGCACCAGATTGGCACAGTGAGTCTGTCCGAAGGGCCAGCCTGCCGTAACGTGCATGCTTGTCATGCAGCCTGCAGTATGGAGTTAAGGACTTGTAGCTCTCCAGCTTTGCTTGGGGGTTGGGGTTCTTACTAGCTGTTCTCTGAACCCCTTCACTCTGGGCTTTTCTTTTTCTGACAGTACATGCTTAGTATTGGTCTGCAGGCTGAGTATTATCATCTGCATATCCTTACTGCTCTTCATGCCAGAACCTAGTACCTGGTCCATAAACACCACTAGTTTAAGAAATAACATAATCGCCAGGTGTAGTGGTGCCCACCTGTAATGCCAGTACTTGGGAGGCTGAGGCAGGAGGATCATTTCAAGTTCGAGACCAGCCTGGGCTGGCAAAGTGAGCTCAAGGCCAGCCTGAACTGCATAGTGAGACCCTGTCTCAAAAAGACGAAGAAACAAAACAAAACACCATGATCACCTGCTAGTGGGCAATGAGAATGCAGGGTAGCCAAAGTACTGGGTGAACCTAGTATCATTAAATTCTCTTTGATCCTATGATACTCTGGGCTTAGTAAATGCTGCTTTTTTTGAACGTCTTGGCTGAAACCAAGAGCTATTTGTTCAGTGTTATGCTCACATTTCTTCTAAAACATTCAGGGTTTCTAAATCTCCAAGGAGTGGGGTTGGAGGGGCCTCTGTATAGTGTGGCAGGGTTATATGTAACCAGCGAATGATTCCGGAATTCTTCACAGGTCAGTCCCTTGTTCCAAAAACTGGAGAATGACCAGATTGAAAGTCTGAAGCAGCGTTTTGGAGGCCAGGTGAGAGCTAGACTGTGCCCTCACCCAGCACCACCCACAGCAGTCCGCCTCAGTTTCCCCAAGGAGCCCTTACTCATCACTCTTTCCATCTTTTAGCCTTCCTGCTTCCTCACTTAGTTTTTCCTTCCCATCTTAGCTAGAAGAGTCCTGAGTTAAAGGTAAACACTTTCCCTGAGATACTCTGTAGAACTGGAGGTCAGAGGGTATTTACGGCAGCCCATGGTAACTGTTGTTCTCCAGGCAAAGGTGTCCCCCAACCCGGCAGTTGTAGAGACTGTTACAACAGCTGGGCAACAGCAGATTCAAACGCTGACGGATGAAGTCGCAAAACAGGTACGTACGGGTCTTAACCCTGCCGGAGACTGGCACAGCTGAATTCTGAACAGCTCCTTTTGTGGACCTGTCTCACGGCCCCCTTCCGCCTTTTCTTAGGGCAACGTTGTGCGAGAACTGAAAGCACAGAAGGCGGACAAGAACCAGGTTGCTGCGGAGGTGGCTAAACTCCTGGATCTAAAAAAGCAGTTGGCGCTAGCTGAGGGGAGACCCCTTGAAACTCCCAAAGGCAAGAAGACAAAGTGAGAGGATTTGGTTCATAGTCACAAGTCACTTTAATGATGTGGACAGTAATAAATAAATGTACAACCTCTATATACACGCTGGGACCTGGCCTTCTGTCTACCCCAAGCATTTGAGGGTCCCATTACTGGCACAGGTGTGCAGATGGTCAGTGGCCACTTCTGGGAAAGGTAGGTGGCAGCCAGAGCTGCAGAGTGATGGCCCCATCTGCTCACGCTTGGTGTAGATTAACCATTCGGTCAATCAGAGCTCGGCGCGTGGCCTCTACTTCCCTGGTCAGGCACTCAATTTCCCGCTTGAGCCGTTCGTTCTCTTCTGTGAGCTGTGCCACTTTCCTTTCGTTCTCCTGTTCCTTTTCCTTCACACGCTGCTTTGCAGCCCGGGCTGGCCCCTGGCCACTCTGCTTCCGTTTCCTGGGTCTCCCTTGCTCTTCTTCCTCCTCTTCCTGAGCGAGGGAGCTCCGACTGGACTCCGGAGACCGAGGGCTCTGAGAGGTACTTGTGACCTCTGCTGGCCCTGGCTCCTCAGTCAGCCAAGCAAGAGATGCAGGGTCAAGAGTGGTGAATGTTTTTGAGTCTTCCTTTAAGGAAATGAGAAAAGGGAGGGTGGGTATTAGCTGATGATGGAACGGTAACATCACCCTTGTTCCCACCTTTAGATTCACTGACTTATTAATTGATTGACTGATTATCTCTTTTGAGTCAGGGTTTCACTGTAGTTCAGGCTGGCCTTGGACTCATTTTGTAGCCCAGGCTGGCCTGGAACTCACAGTGATCCTCCTGCTGCGATTACAGGTGTGTGATACCATGCCTGGTCTAGTTTTTTTTGTTGGTTGGTTGGTTTTTTGTCTTTTTGAGAGAGGGTCTGGCTGTGCAGTTCAGGCTGGCCTTGAGCTCACTTTGTAGCCCAGGCTGGTCTGAAACTCACAGTGCTCCTCCTGCCTCAGCCTCCCGAGTGCTGAGATTACAGGCGTGTGCCACCATGCCCGGCACCTGGCCTAGTTTTGTTGTTTCTTTTATTTATTTATTTTTTAATTTAATTTTATTTGAGACAGGGTCTTGCCATGTAGTTCAAGATGGCCTTGAACTCTTGGCAATCCTCCTCCTTCAGCTAGGATTGTAGGCATGCGCTATCACCCCCAGTTTATTCTCAGCTTTAGGACTGGCACTCTCACCTCTTCGTTTCCAGCGGGTAAGATATACTTCCCCCCATTTTCATCTGAGGACAGGACTTCCTGCAGGTCTTCATACCAAGCTTCCAGCTCCCAGTTGGACACTGCCCCGAAGGAGAAAGGCAATGATTCGGCTGCCATCTCTGTGGTTGGATTAGGTTCTGGCAAAATACACATTCAGGATAAAAGCTCTGCTTAGCAACAAACAGTCTGCAGCACAGGCAAGCACACTGCCGTACTGCCTGGTTTGGTTTTTTCCCCCGTTTCTGTAGATAAAGTTTTATGGGAACACAGCCGTATCTGTTTATGTACATCTGATGTACAGCTCTAGTGCCATAGCAGTGGAGATGAATAGTGGTGACAGACTGTACTGCCCTGAACACCTCCATTATTTACTCTCTGACTCCTTAAAATTTACCAGCCTGTAGTCTATACTGTCATTTCCTTTTCTGGGGAGGGGGCAGTGGTGGGGATTGAACCCTGGGCCTTGTGGATGGATGCCAAGCATGGGCTGTACCACTGAGCTGTGCCACTTGCACAGTACTGATGTGTCTTCCTTGCCTCTCGCCCAGGACGAAGTACCCGGACATCCGTTCTCAGGGGGTCCTAATGAAGTCTTTAGTCCGCTGGCACACTCCACTGGTAGTTTCTGCAGACAACAGCCAGGCATCTGTGCTGCTGACCCCTGCGTGGGGAGCGTGGGCAAAGGGTCCTTTGAGTCTGCTTAACCTTGAGGGGGACTAAGGGTTGGGAAGACAAACCAGCTGTCTTTGTTGGCGCTGATTTTGAGAGCTTTCAATTAGAAAGTACTCTGAAAATAGTGATTTGATGACCTTGTTATGCGGCAGGCCAGGAGGCTAGACATGGTCTGACAGATTCAAACCTTCCTCTTCCACCTTGGTGAGGTCTGTTAGTAGCTTCCTAGATCCCAGCAAGGGAGCCTAAGCAGCTTTCCTTGTGAGTTGGTTTTGGTAAAGGGCGAATTAAATTTACCTGCTTTCAAGTGTGGTGATGTATGAAGATACACTTTCTCCTGGAACACTGTGGAGAACAAAGACAAGTGTCAGCCATTTTTGTAAGGGGGAGGGGCAGGTTCTTGGCCTCCCCCCTCCCGTTGGCTCCTCCTTACTTCCTGTCTTTTGGGAGAGGGATAGTTAAAGGGTCCTGTAGCCATTTCAAAGGACAGGAGAGAGTTCAACTTTATTTTTAGTAACTGACATTTATAGTCCTGATTACATAATAGCATGTAGTAGCCAACTCAGCTTTTTCTAAATTCAAGGCAGGTCTCATGCCTGCCAGGGTAAGAACGAAACGTCAGAGAAGGAAACATCTAGGTATTTTCCTGACTCCGTTCCCATACCAACATCCTCCAAATGCCCATTTCCAGTCAGGACCTCTCTTGGGACCTCTAGCTCTGATGTGGTCACCCCCTTGTCATCTCCTTTTGTGTATCTAATAGGCATGTGGATTACATCCAAAACCAGTCTTGCTCATTTTTCCTTTCCAGGGTTGTCCCCATCTCAATAAATGAAAACTAGTTCTTCAAGCCAAAAACTAGTGTTAACCTTAACTCCTCTTTCCTCATACCCCACTATCCGCAATTTTTTTTTCAGTACCAGGAATCAAACTCAAAACCTCACGCTTGCTAAGCGGGCGCTTGTGCCGCTGAGCTATATCCCCAGCCATGCCATTTTCTTAATATATATATATATTTTTTGGGATGAGGTCTCACTATGTAGTTTAGGCTGGTTGTGAATTCACTGTGTAGCCCTGATTGGTCTTAGACTCACTGTGACCCTCCTGCCTCAGGTTAACCCTTTTTTATATATATACTGCAAACGTAAGCATTTCTCACCAATTCCACTGTTTCTCAATGTAGACCAATCTTTCCTCTGCATTATTACCATCTTTCCTCTGCATTATTTCAGAACCCTTGCAGGATTTTTCTCCAGTTCTGCTTCTGCTAGCCCTATTCACAGTGTAGCAGCTAGAGTGAGCCCTCCATTCATTTCTGCAGTTGCATATTAGGCATTTCTGGGCATTGCATATTAGGAAAGTGTTCTGCCATTGAGCTATATCCCCAGCCCTTTTAAAATTTAGGTCATGGACTGGGGATATTAACTCAGCAGCACAGCACCTGCCTAGCAAGTTTGAAGTCCTGAGTTCAATTCCTGGTACTCACAAAAAAATAAGGTCACTTAAAACTTAGGCTGGGTATGGTAGTGCACACCTGTAATCCCAGCACATGAGAGGTTGAAGCAGTAGGATCACTGCAAGTTCCAGGCCAGCCTGGGTTATAGTAAGTTCAAAGCCAGCCTGAATTACATGGCAAGACCCTGTCTCAATCAATGAATAAAACAAAACTTAGGTCACTGCTCTACTCAAAACCCTCTAAGCTAGTATAGTGACATTTGCAGCACTCAGGAGGCTGAAGCAGGAGGACTTGCAAGTTAAACCCTGCCTGGGCAACTGTGCAAGATCTTGTCTCAATAAAAAATGGGCTGGGAAAAAAAAAAAAAAATGGGCTGGGGATGTAGCTCAATGCGAAGTCCCTGGCTTCAACCCCAGTTGACACAAAAACTTTCAATGACTTACTTAAGAGTACTAATGACTAACATTCAGTTGGGTATGGTGGTGCACACCTATAATCCCAGCACTTGGGAGGCTGAGGCAGGAGTATTGTCAAGTCCAGCCTGGGCTACATAGTTTAAGACCAGCCTGAACTACATAATGAGACCCTGTTTCAATCCCCATATTCTCCCCCAGGAAAACTAACATTCTCAAAGTGGCTTGCAAGGCCCTACCCAACTTACATCTTTGGTTTTTTGTTTGCTTTGTTTTTTATCTTTTTGAGACAGGGTCTCCCAGTGCAGTTCAGGCTGGCCTTGAGCTCACTTTGGAGCCCAGGCTGCTCTCGAACTTGCAACGATCCTCCTGTCTCAGCCTCCTAAGTGCTGGGATTACAGGTGTGCACCACCACGCCTGACTCCAACTTACATCTTTGCTGCCCGACTTTTCTTCAACCATTCTCCCCCCTGTTGGTTCCTGTCCAGTCCCCTGGCCTATTCCTAAAGGTACCAGACATACTCTCACCTTAGGGCCTCTGCTCTGGCTGTTACTTCTGGAAAGCTCTTCCACGTTATCTGTATAGCTCACTGGTTTGCCTCCTTTGGGTCTTTTATGCAATTAAATAGCCCCTCAGTAAGGAAATTCCTACCTGATAAAAACTAAACTTTATCCTGAACATTATTCTATTTTCTCTGCGTTAGTTTTCTCCATAACACTCATACCACGCACTGAAATATAAGTTCTTTGGCATCAGAATTTTTTTTTTTTTTAGTTCAAGGATATACCCTCAGTCTCAAACTGCTTGGCACATAGTAGGTGCTCAGTAAGTATTAAGAATGAATGAAAATATCTCCCCTAGGCTCACTTACAATAGGGAAGGGAGGTCTAAACCCAGAGGCAAAGAGGCTGCTGCCTCCGCCTAGGGACTAGAGATGCAATATTGCCCTCAGTGTTTCTCTGCAGGGCTGTTCTCTTTGGGGAAAACTCCTGTGTGGGACGCGGCTTTCATCAGCAGTGGAGCCCCGGTCCAGAGGGCTACAGAGCTCAACAGGGGGCTGACCTGACGCAACGGTTACGCGGAGATTAGCTGGGAGCCAGCAGGGGTGAAGGTGGCAGGGACCGATCCCAGGAGGACAATACCCCGGGGAAACCCCAAATGGCTTCCCACACTGAAGGAGCTCCAGGCCGCTCTATGTGGGTGGCCCGGAGACCTCAGGGAGGAAGGGAACCCCCCTGCCCGTGGCCCACCGGCACCCCTGCTCCCAAAAGGCTGTGGCAGCCAAGGCTCTCCAACCGTGCGCTGGATCCAGGCGGGGGCGGGGGAGCGCCGCTGGCGGCAAAGCGACGGGACCGCCCGAGCCAGGGTCACCCAGCCCGGAGCGGGGCTGTGTCCCGCCGCCTCGCCTCTCGGGACAGGCCGAAGCGGGTGGCCCAGAGCGGCGGCGGGAGGGAATTCCCCGCTGCTCACAGGGGTCTCTGCCCAGCAGCACAGACGGGGCCCGTGCTCCGGCAGGGCTGAGCAGCAGGACAAGATGCCTGCAGGCAGCACTCCGAGTAACGGATCTCTCCAGCCCTCCCTTTGACGGTCCCTAAAGTCACCGCGGAGGGGGTGGGGCTACACCCAAAAGAGCGGACGCCACAGCTTTGGAGGGGACAGCGGAAGTTCGTGAAGACGGGCAGGTGAAGGGCAGACAGGAAGTCAGTACTCGCCTCTCTCCGCAGGTTCCAGCTCTGACTTTGGCTCTGTCGCTGCCACCGGCTCATCTTCAACATGATATGCTCTCCGTGTTACACTCAAGCCTCTGACCTCGAGGAAGTCGGGCTGAGGATCTTTAAGCACAGCCTTGCCCGCCTCTCGAGGGCCGGATCCGGAGACCTACCAATCGCAAAGGGGCACGCCAGCATTGGCCCCGCCCCATCCCTCACAACCGCCACTCAGGAGCTCCGCAGGACCGCCCCCGTCGCTCCCTCCCGCCAGGGGGTCGACGTCTTGTTGGACCCGGAAGTAGCTTTGGGTCACGCGGGCTCGCGGAGGCGGTGGGTGAGTCATGCGCGCGCAGAGGGGAGTGTGGAGGGGGGAGGGGAGGGCAGGGGGGCGGGGATGATGCAATGTTTGGCAACCGGTGTCCGCGCGCGCACGCGCAGGGGACAACGAGGGTGGTGGGAGGTGCGGAGGGTGGGGGAGAGGAGAGGGCGGGGCGCCAGCTCCAGACACCCAACGGCCCCAACGGCTATCAACTGTGGCCGCCCCCAGGCTGCTGTGTGGCGCCTCACTGCAGCTTGTCCCCTCTCTCCGAAGCTGCTGTTCCGCCCCCTTATCTTTCCTCCCGTTTTACCTTCTCCTGAAGGGACTCCCATTTTCCTTGGCCCCTCCCAGCTAATGGTTACACAGGCTTGGGAATCACTCTCCTTTCAAAGTTCGCATCCATCCACCTGGGTTGACATTTTATTAAAGGGGTGTCTGCTTTTCACCTTCTAACGCCCCCGAAAGACGCCGAGGTCCTGGAATGCGCTTGATTTTCTCTGCTTCTCTCGGAAGAGCACCCTTGATTATTATGGTATAGCTTCTGATCGCTCTCGACATGCCAGAATCTATGTTCTTTGCTGAGTGAACCCGATTCTATTTTCTCCCTTATTTTTCCCCGTGGTGCTTTTATGTCTTTCAAAGACCAAGACCCTCCTTTTCACTGTGCCAGAAGAGCAAATCCCGCGACTCCCTGACTCCCCGCTGAGGCGCTGGCACAGGCTCCGGTCTCCTCGGTGTCGGGTCGCGACCTCCGGGGGAGCGGAGCCGCGGGGACGTGCGTGCTGCCGAGCTGAGCGCATGACTTCCCCGGACGGGCTGTCAAGAGCCCGGATTCCGGCCTCTGCTCCCTCGCCTGCCCGGCGATCCCACCGCTCTCATTTGTAAAGATAAGTTGTGAAGGTAAAATGAGAGCATTCTGTTCATGAACTTGGAAGCAACTTGAACAAAAGTAGAAAGCAGTATGCAGAACGCCAAGTATTTTTCTGGTGCCGTGAAAACAGAGGCTTCGTAGTGGCCTGTTACCTGGCCTGTCATACCCTGATCGGGGCAGCCAGAAACCGTCCCGAGAGCGGTTGTGACTAGATGGCGTGGCAGTGACAGGTCCGGGGCCCGGCTGCACCGCCGCTGCAGACCTCCATTTCCCTTTCTGTGAATGGAGGTGGGGGCCGGACCAGATGGTCTCTCCTGGCCTAAAGACAGACCAGGTTGTCAGTGACAGGCGGAGGTCATGTGACTTGACAGGCCGAGGTCGTGTTGTGACATGTTGACCTGGGGAGGCGGGTCAAGTCCCAGCGCACTACCCGGGAAGGCTTTGGGGCGGGGCAGGGCAAGTCCCGACTTTCATCTTTAGGAGCTGGCCCTTCCCGAACCTGGCATTCCTGGCTCCCCCAACAGATTGTGGCTTTGGAAGGGCCCCTCTCCGGGGAGGGATGGGATTGGCCACCAGTGGCCTGGGAAGAGGCACAGATCCTTCCGCCCAGGGTGGGGGGGCCGCGTGGGGTGTTTGTTCTCTAGGGGATTAATGGGGGGTTGTGGGGGAGGGGCGGGCGCGCTCCCGCATGCGCACTGCGGCCCCTCCTGTTGGCTCGCGGCTGTCCGCTGGGCGGGGGCCGGGCCCCGCCCCTCTCCCGTCCGGGCGGCGGCGGCTGCGGCGGTGGCGGCTGCAGCGACGGCGGCGGCGGCGGCAGCAGCCTGCGCGGTGCCTTCTGGGAACGGAATCCCCAGGGCTGCCCCTGGCCCCCATGGCGCATGCGCGGGAGGCCGCTCGGTGATCCGCGGCGGCGGCGGTGGCGCTTCCTGCTAGGACCGGCCGGGGCCGTACCGGAGGCTCGGGCTCCACCGACCCTCCTCCCACTCCCTCCCACTCACCCTCTGGGCCGCGACTGCGCAGGGCGGGGCCGGCCGAACCATGGGCCGCGGTGAGTGCGGGGCCCGGCCCCCCCACCCCGCCCCTCCCCCTCCCCTCCTGTCCCTACCCTCTGCCCCCTCTGCGTCCTCCTGGCCCCTTTCCCCGGCCCCATCCCCACTCCCCCGCCCTCACCTGCCCCCCCCGCTTCTCCCTCTCGCTGCCTGACTTCTGCCTTCCTCACCTCCCTCCCTTCAGTGCTTTGCCCACCCTCTGCCCGCCCTCTCTCCCAAGTTCCTTCCTAGTTCGTGCGCCTTCCCCTCCTCCCCAAGCAGAGGGAAGCAGTCTGGGTGACAGGGCGCCTTGTTATGAGAGGGAAAGTTTGGAAACCGTCAGTGTGGAGTGGGAGCGATGGTGAGGTTGGGGAGAATACTTGCAGGTTTGAGGGGCTTCCCGCAGATGAGAGGAGAATGACTTGGAGCTAATTGGAAACCAGGGGGATTGGAGGTTCTCAATCCTCTTCCTTGCCTTAGGCTTGGAGAAGAGGGAGCTTCTTTGGATCCTGGGAGGAGGCAGAACTGTGATCCTCGCCCAAGCCCCAAATAAACTAGATCAGTGATTGTCTGGTGGAGTGGGCATGGGGGATTTCTGCTGGTACCTCTCCAGCAGGCAGTCGAGCCATTGCCTGGTGACCGTGCGGCCGGCCGTCTGTACTTCCATATGAACTTCCTGGGGAGATGAGGCCCGGCGGTCTGGGAAACTTCTCAGTGTCCAGGCTTTAGGGGAATCTATCCACGCCTCGCACGCAGAGGTGTTCCTACTAGGACAAAGGGCCTGTCCCACCATATGCCTGGAAATTGGCCTAGGGTGCTCTGGTCCCTGGGAGTTGAAGCGCTGACCCTCTGGTCCTTGGGGACTAGGCTTTGAAAAGATGGTTGTGGACTCCGCCAGCAGATCACTACAGGCGTTTAGCTCACACTGGTAGGGTCTGCTCCTGAGTGTCCTGGGCCGTGGTGCTCTTCTCGAGTGGGGCAAATTCCTGAGGATCCTTTCTCCTGTGTTGCAGGTGTGGGCTAAGCTGGCGGCCCGGGCTTTAGACTGGACCTCACAATGTTTGCAGAGATGTTCAGGTAGCCATGGCAGTGTGGCAGTATGGCACAGGCTTCCTTCTCATTCTCCCAGGTCTCTGAGGGGCGCCGTGTCACTCTGAGGCTTCCCCTGAGTTTCCTTGGGTCTCCCCGCAACCTTTGCCTTCCTGGAGTCCTCCCTCAGGTGCCCAGCCCAGCTTAATCCTCCTAGTGCCCACATGGATGTCTGTGTTATCAGGCACGCGGGAGCTGATTACACACAATGAATGGGGGCAATGAGAGCAGTGGAGCAGACAGAGCTGGGGGCCCTGTGGCCACGTCTGTCCCCATCGGCTGGCAGCGCTGTGTGCGAGAGGGTGCTGTGCTCTATATCAGGTATAGATCTTCCAAGTTCCCCACGTTCTGCCCACCTGGCTGTCCTTGGCTCGCGCAAGTTTTCTTTCCCACCTGGGCTTTCAGAAGTCTGGTCTCGGGTCCCCCTTGCTGTCCTTCCTTCTCCTTCCTCAGCCTTTCCCGCCTCAGCTGTTTTTGCTCTCTGCATTTCTGGGCCCTGCATCCGTTTTCTGTCTTCTCACTTCCCTTACCCTCTGCCCTTCCTGGGAAGTTCTTCAACTGAAGAAGTGACCTTTAGGGAGTATCTTCTGATTCACCGTCACCTAATTTCTGGCCCTGTCCTCTCCCAGCCCAAGTGGCACAGAGCTGTCTTCCTTGGAACAAACCCGGAGCTACCTCCTCAGCGATGGGACCTGCAAGTGTGGCCTGGAGTGTCCACTCAATGTCCCCAAGGTCAGAGTCATGATAGGTGCTAGAGAGTAAAGGATGAGCCCGAAGTCAGTGCAAATCGCTGACTAGGTAGCCTTTGATGTCCCCGGCTGTCTTGGGAACCCTAGTAGCCAGGAGCCCTCCCATCCCCGCATCTCGGGCCCCTGCTCCTGAGACACGCCCTCAGGGTCCCTGCCCTGCCTCCTACCCTACAGGTTTTCAACTTTGACCCTTTGGCCCCGGTGACCCCGGGTGGAGCTGGGGTGGGGCCGGCATCAGAGGAGGACATGACCAAGCTGTGCAACCACCGGCGGAAAGCTGTTGCCATGGCAACTCTGTACCGCAGCATGGAGACCACCTGCTCACATTCTTCTCCTGGTGAGTGTTCTGCGGCCGCCCCGAAGACTGAGGGGAATCTGAGGGTCGGGAAGGCCATGGTGGGAAGGGTGCGGAGCGAGGTGCGGAGCTCCTCGCTGAGAGGGGGCCCTGCGAGGTGGGGAACTTCCTTGGGAGGTGGGACTGGAGAAGACAAGAGAAAGTTCTCGGGAGGGAAGCTAAGGTTGACCCTTCATTTCTCATTTATTGCAGGAGAGGGAGCGAGCCCCCAAATGTTCCACACTGTGTCCCCAGGGCCCCCCTCTGCCTGCGCTCCCTGTCGAGTTCCTCCTGCAACTCCACTTAATGGGGGTCCCGGCTCCCTTCCCCAAGAGCCACCCTCAGTTCCCCAGGCCTTCCCCCCACTCGTGGGCCCTGGGGGGCTCTTCCCGCCACCAAGGCTTCCTGACCCCATCCCCTCTGCGGGCAACAGCAGCCCCTGTTTCCTCCCGAGGGGCAATGCCCCCTCCCCAGCCCCACCCCCTCCCCCTGCCATCAGCCTCAATGCGCCCTCGTACACCTGGGGGGCTGCCCTGCGGTCCAGCCTGGCGCCCTCTGACCTGGGCTCTCCTCCGGCTCCTCTCGCCTCTTCCTCGCCACCGGCAGACCCCCCTCTCTTCCACTGTAGTGATGCCTTAACGTCCCCTCCCCTGCCCCCGAGCGGTAATCTCCCCGCGCCCCTCGGCCCCCCTGGTCCTGCCACTCAGCCGTCAGTGTCTTCAGCCACTATGCACCTGCCCCTGGTCCTGGGAGCCCTGGGAGGGGATCCCACGGTGGAGGGGCCCGGGGCGCCCCCCTTTCTTGCTAGCAGCCTACTCTCCGCAGCGGCCAAGGCACAGCATCCCCCGCTACCCCCGCCCAGCACTTTACAGGGCCGAAGGCCCCGTGCCCAGGCACCCTCCGCTTCTCACCCCTCGTCACCCCATCTCTCTCAGCGGCGATCCCGCCGACCCCCAACTGTCTTGCGATTGCTAGAAGGGGGAAGCCCTCAGACCCCCAGACGGAGCCGTCCTCGGGCCCCTGCTCCTGTGCCCCAGCCTTTTCCTCTTCCGGAACCATCCCAACCCATCCTCCCTTCCGTGCTGTCCCTGCTGGGACTGCCCACCCCTGGCCCTTCCCACTCTGATGGAAGCTTTAACCTTCTGGGGTCAGATGCACACCTGCCTCCCCCCCCAGCCCTCTCCTCAGGGAGCCCTCCCCAGCCCAGGCACCCTGTCCAGCCCTCCCTGCCTGGGCCCACCAGTGGCAGCCTCAGCAGTGTGCCAGGTATGCGTATGTGGAGCCCCTCCTTGGCCTGGGGGGTGGGGGCAGCCGGGGCAGGGCGTTGAGGTGAAATTGCAGCGCTCCTTGGTGGTTGGGCCGAACTCGGGCTCTTTGGCTGCTGGGAGAAAGGGCTTCCCCGGAGCTGAATCTTTCTCTTCTTTTCCAGGTGCCCCTGCCCCACCAGCTGCCTCCAAAGCTCCCGTAGTCCCCAGCCCTGTGCTTCAAAGCCCATCGGAAGGGCTGGGGATGGGGGCGGGCCCAGCCTGCCCCCTGCCTCCCTTAGCTGGTGGGGAGGCTTTCCCTTTCCCTAGCCCGGAGCAGGGCCTGGCGCTGAGTGGAGCTGGCTTCCCAGGGGTGCTGGGGGCCCTGCCTCTCCCTCTGAGTCTGGGGCAGCCTCCACCCTCTCCTTTGCTCAGCCACGGTTTATTTGGTGTGCTGGCTGGGGGTGGAGGACAGCCTCCCCCTGAGCCCCTGCTACCCCCACCCGGAGGACCCGGCCCTCCCCTAGCCTCAGGCGAGCCCGATGGGCCTTCGCTCTTGGTGGCCTCCTTGCTCCCACCACCTTCATCAGACCTTCTGTCACCTCCCCCTGCCCCCCCTGGCAACCTCCTTGCCTCTTTTCTGCCCCTTTTGGCCCTGGGCCCCACAGCTGGAGATGGGGAGGGATCTTCAGAGGGAGCTGGGGGTCCAAGTGGGGAGCCATTTTCAGGGTTGGGAGACCTGCCCCCGCTACTTTTCCCCCCACTTTCAGCACCCCCTACCCTCATAGCTTTAAATTCTGCGCTGCTGGCTGCCAGCCTGGATCCCCCCTCGGGGACGCCCCCCCAGGTGAGGACGGGGTGAGTGGATGGGACAGAACAGGAGGTAGAAGCAGAGGGGGGAGCTGGGAACGGAAGCCTTGCAGTTTCACGCCTGAGCCCCTGGGAGCTGTGGGGAGGACTTGCCCTTGGCTGGAAGCGGGATGGCTGTAGGAACGCGAATTGAGTCAACGCGGCCTAGTCGCTTGAGGCTTCCGTCAGAGCCTGTGTGTGAAAGTCTGTAAGTCTGCCGGACACCTCCCCGTGCGAGTGCTGTAACGGTTCTCTCCCCTTAGCCCTGTGTCCTGAGCGCCCCCCAACCTGGACCACCTACCTCCAGTGTCACCATGGCAACTACTGACCCGGGGGCCTCCTCTCTGGGCAAGGCCCCCTCCAACTCAGGGAGACCCCCCCAACTCCTTAGCCCTCTGCTGAGTGCCAGCCTGCTGGGTGAGTCTGAAAGAGAAGCAGTGAAAAAGCGGGGAGGAAAGTCCGACTGACCACTTGGGTGAAGCCTGGAGAACAGTAGGGTCCGAGCTGCCTGACTGGTTTGCCTGGGGCGAGACCCTGTCTCATTTTTCAGCAGGTGACTTATCCTCACTGACCAGCAGCCCTGGAGCCCTCTCCAGCCTATTGCAGCCGCCTGGCCCTCTTCTCTCCGGCCAGCTGGGGCTGCAGCTCCTCCCTGGGGGGGGAGCTCCTCCACCCCTCTCCGAGGCTTCTAGTCCCCTAGCCTGCCTGCTACAGAGTCTCCAGGTGAGCACAGGGGTGGCTGTTTGTCAGGAAAATCTTGCCTAAAACTGGAAGCTTAAGGGTTTCTGAGTTGCAGTGCAGAGGGTTGAATTTGCCACTGACTGAAATCTTCCTTTGCCAGCAGATTCCTCCAGAGCAGCCAGAAGCCCCCTGCCTGCCCCCCGAGAGTCCTACTTCAGCCCTTGAGCCAGAGCCTGCCCGGCCTCCCCTCAGTGCCTTAGCCCCGCCCCACAGCTCTCCCGACCCCCCAGTCCCTGAGCTGCTCACTGGGAGGGGGTCAGGGAAACGGGGCCGGAGGGGAGGAGGGGGACTTAGGGGCATTAATGGTGAGGCCAGGCCAAGCCGGGGCCGGAAGCCTGGCAGCCGGCGAGAGCCTGGCCGAATGGCCCTCAAGTGGGGGACACGTGGTGGCTTCAATGGACAAATGGAACGGTCCCCAAGGAGGACCCACCACTGGCAGCATAATGGGGAGCTGGCTGAAGGGGGTGCTGAGCCCAAGGACCCACCCCCTCCTGGGCCCCATTCTGAGGACCTTAAGGTGAGCGCAGTGGTTGAGGGCTGGGCTCGCAGGCTCTGGGACGAAGCCGGGCTGGGCCTTTTCCTCACTTTCCCATACACAGAGTCTCTCTCCCCTCAGGTGCCCCTGGGGATAGTCAGAAAGTCTCGCCGTGGCCGGAGGAGAAAATACAAGTGAGTGTTAGGCCCACCCTTAACTGGCCTTTGCCTGCTTCTTGTTGGGATGATAGAAGTGTCCAAAGAGTGGCTTGGCTTTCAAAAGGGGCAGATACGTAACTGAATACGAATAAAGATACTATGCCTTTACTATCCAAATGTAGAAAGTTTCCCACCCAACCTTCTGAAATTCACCTGGTGCTTGGGGAGCTGTTCCTGATCATCTGTGCCCCTTATTGCAGCCCCACCCGAAACAGCAATAGCTCCCGCCAGGATGTTCCCTTGGAGCCCAGCCCCACAACCCGAGTGAGTGTGTGCGGGTGCGGGTGCGGGTGGGTGGGTGAGCGAGTTGGGGGTACACAAGGGATGAGAACGGAGGACGGGAGGCTTGGAGGAAAGGGGAAAGACTTCTGGATCCCTAGCTGACGGCTGACTCTCGCAACTTTCCCTCTGGTACAGGCGGCTGTCCCTCTGCCTCCTCGGGCCCGCCCTGGCCGTCCTGCCAAAAACAAGAGGAGGAAACTGGCCCCGTAGCAGCCATACCTGGAGCTGGATCTGCCCGTGACTGGGGAGAGCTGAGTGCTGAGCCTTGGGAGCCCCTGCCAGCCACGCGCACCTGTGGACAGTGGGGGGGGTGCTACTCCCCACTCAGAGCACAAATGCAACCCCTTCCCCTACAATCCCATCCTGAGCCATTGCAGGGGGTAAGGAAGCTCACCCTCTCCCCCCCAAAGCCATGTCACTGAAAAGGCCTGGGGGGGTGGTATGTGGCCCTCTCCCCACCAGGCGCTAAGGGGAACACCCCCTTCCCGAGGTCTTTTATTTGTTTAAGTTATTTTTGCACAAATGACTCTTTTATATTTAATTCGACTTCATTGCCTCCCTTCTTAAAGCCAGCAGGCTCAGTTTACAAACCTGTGAGCTACTGTTGGCTGCTGCCCTCCTTCCCAGTGAAAGGTACAAAGCAATAAGCATCATGCATCTTCCCCCACCTAATATCCCTCTGCTTCTGGCTCAGGTTGCTCAAAGCACAGATCCCCTCTTACCCCTGTCCCCAGGATCGAAACACAGAGCCTCATTTCAGAGTGTAGCCAGGTTCCCTCTACTTTCCTCTGGGATACAGAAAGGGGATAAGGGGGCAAAGAGAGCCCCCTGGGCCTCTCCTCCCATACACACTACACTGCCCCTTCTCCCCCATCAAAATGCTCAGAGACGTTGTGGTGATGCGACTGAGGATTATGCAACGTGGTCCAACCGGAGCGGCCAGCATGACCAGCTGTCCAGGGGCTGCCTCCTGCCTTTTCTTTTGTAAAGACAAGACCCTTGGGAGTTTTAATTCTGTTTTGTACTTGCCCTTTGGGGCCTCCACTGCTTTTCTATGGGAGACACTCTTAATTTAACAGATGAGAATATTTTGAAACTCTGGCTCTGGCTCTGTACTCATTTCTTATTTAGTACTTTAGTACGAACAGGTTCCAGCTGCAATCTGTTTCTGGTAGTAGAGGATGACTTAGGCTGCCTGTTACGTTCTAAACTTTGTGTCTCGGTACTGCTTCTTCCCCAGGAAACACAGCAGAGGCCACGCAGAGTACAACAGCATTTAATGGTCAGAAACAGTTGTACAGTATTATAGTCAGCCACAGAAGCTGTGTTGGAGGACAAGGACCCGGTCCTCCCCTATACCAGGCAAAGCAGTATTGGACGTGAGCTGGCATGTAACGAGGCCCACGTCCTCATCCCCTGGGCCTGAGGGGAGACCCCACCTAACACCCCCAGCTACCGCTCCGTTCGTTCATCAGGGGAGGGGCACAAAGCCCACATGCAAGAAGAACCCTTGCCCCCAGTGTCAGGTAAGGTGGGCTGGGGGAGTTACAGTGGAGGGGAAACCCTGTGTAAGCGCTAAGAGCTCAGAGGGCCAGCTGGTCCCTGCTCTCCACCTCCTGAAGGTGCTCACTTTCCCAGCTGCTTCATCCGCTCCTCAATGCTGGCGAAGTTCCCCTCCACCGTAGCCAGGTTCTCGCGCACGGTTGTCTGCACCTGCAGAGAGGGTAGAGAGGTGTACCGTCAGGCTGCGGTGCCTACCTGCATGAGAAACAGCCAGAGAAATTACAGAAGAAAAAAATCAACGGAAACACAGCAGATGGGCCAGGGGAAGGGATGGTTACCGTGCGGTTTTTCAAACCACCCGTGGAGTGCCGCGGGCCTAGCCTGGGGTTTGGAGGACTCCTGAGAAGCTCCTAGCCAGGCGTGGTGGTGCGTACCTGTAACGCCAGTACTTCTGGAGGCTGAGGTAGGAGGATACCAGGTTCTAGCCCAGCACTGGCAACTTAGCCAGACCCTCTCAAATTTAACAGCAGGGCTGGGGATACAGGTCCGAGTGACGGCTCTAGGTTCACTGTCCACTACTACTTTAAAATCTGTTGTATGCAGTAAGACCCAAATAAGCCTGAGCAGCGGAGATTATAGGTATGTGCCACTGTAGCTAGCTATAACAATACTTGGTTTTCCTTTATCTTAGTGGTCTTGTGATCGCCTGACTAGTACTCCAGCACTGCGTATGGTGCCGCCGAGAAAAACTGACCTACTGTGTGCCAGGCACTCCTAAAGGCATGAAAAAGGTGAAGGTCAGGGTCCAGGTCGGGAAGTGGTTGGACCCTGGCAACGACTGTAAAGCCACGTTAGGACCACACAGAAAAGCCTGGATTTTGAAACAAGTCCACTAACACCTAGTAATTCACCCGTATTATTGCACCTAACCCACATAACTGAGGGAAGGGCAATTACGAGTTGGTTGACCTTTTTTTTTTTTTTTTTTCTGGAGACAGGGTCTCACATTATAGCTCAGGCTGGCCTCGAACTTGCTATGATCCGCTTGCCTCGGCCCCCTCTGAGTGTTAAGATTATAGGCCTGTGCTACCGAGCAGCTGACCAGCTGGAAAGAAAAGATGGATGTTCCTAAGTTGTCCCTAAGTTGTCAAAGGTCCCCCACTGTTGAAAAACAGTACTGAGATTCACACCAAGCCCCCGCCGCAACGAAGGCCAAAACATGAGCTAAGGCAAACCCTACACGATGAAGCTGGAGAACCTAGTCTGTTTATGCTAGAGAAAGGTGAGAGCAGACCAGCAGAGGTACACACCTGGGTCAAAAGGGTGGCATTGTCCTTGAGGGAACTGGCAATCATCTGCTGGGTGGTATCTAAGTGCGTCAGGAGCTGGCCAAACTGCATGGCTACCAAAGAAGAAAGGTACGGTTGAGACGAGAATCCGAGACAAGAGGAGAGGGCAAATGGGCTGTCTCAGTCCTTGGCGTGCCTGGCGGGTGGCCTCCCACCTTGCTCATGCAGCTGCTTGATGGTAACAAGTCTCTGCACCAGCTCAGGAAGGGTGGAGGCTATGGGGCTCCAGCGCTGTATGGTTTCATATAACTGGTGCACCTAGAGAGATGACAGGGCCCAGAGCAGAAGGCTGAGGAGGCCATGAAGAGCTCACCGTGCGGAGAGGATCGGAGGAGGAGAGGGAAACACTGTCCTGACTCTCGCAGCTGATACGAACTTATAGAGACAGGACCTGAGGGCCCAGTGTGCTCTCAGGTATTACCATTTGGAAAACTTGAGCCAATGCAAGGGCTATGAAAATGGAGAAGGTATCTTCCTGACCTTGCTCTGCGTATCGGCATCCTCCACAGAGGCTTTATGCTTGGCAATCTCATTCACCTTTCCCAGGACACTCTGAAAGCACAGATTTCAAAGCTGACAGTGAGGGAACCCAGGGCTTCAGATCGCTCAAGTTACCCAGAATGCACCTGCTCCCCCACTAAATACCTGTAGCCGAGCCTCCACTTGGTCCAAAACTGCAAGGTCCAGGGCGCTCACCTTTGCCTGTAACAGCTCCACAGTCTCCTGGGGACGGTGGGGGGACGACGTAGCAAAGGGAAAGCTATCAGACTAAGAACAGGCCTCCCATATTCTGTACTCCTATACAGCTACAGACTGAGAAGTGAGTCTCGGGGGAGGCCCAGGCCCAGCCCCCCCTTAACCCAACACTCCTTCCACACTCACCATCAGACAGGCTCCCTGCAGACCTGCAGAAAGGGGATTCTGGAGGAAAAGGCAGAGAAAAAAGTGACTCTCATCGCACGTGACTACCACCTCTCCCCAGCCTTCGTGCTTCTAGCTGGCAGACCCTGGTAGCCAAGGCCCTTCGCTGACTTGGCTTGTCTGGAATGCCGTGGGCCTTGGGGCTCAGGGTGCAGGGTCTGAGGCTCAGACTAAGTCAAGGAGAGCAGCTGACCTGAGCATCCTGATCACAGCGGACAGCTGCCTCCAGCTCTGTTAGGCGCCGCTCAAGTTCTGCAACCTAGGGGAGAGAGGAGGCAGGGTCTGCCTTCACGCCTCTCCTGCTACTGGAGGAGCAAGACAATGCTCTGTCTACTCGTCACCCCTGCCCCTTCCCTGAGAGACTCCTTTCCCGGCAGCACATCTCTAGCCAAAATTTTCAACTCCTAACTGAAAGGAGATGGGTGAAAAAAACACGGAGAATGAGACACCACGATAAAAGCCCCCCTAGCACCTCCTCCCCGGGCTGACCCTTCGGAGGCAGAAACACTCTGGGCCAACACCTCCTCGGGCCCTTTAACCATGCACACTATACACAAGCTCACTTTGGCCGCCTGCGAGAACCTGTCCTGCTCAGGCCGCGAGTGCAGTTCGTACGTGACAAGGCTGCTGTCCTGGGCGCTCCCACCGGCCGTCTTTGCCCCCGAACTCCCTTTGCTGTTCTTTGTTGTTTCCAGCTGCAGCAGCAGGCGCCTGGTCAGACCAAGTGAAATATCAGGACTTGAAAGATGAGGGCCAGTCACTTTCTCTTCCCTCGCAGTCAACGTTCAAGAATAGCTAGGCTGGAGCCAGCATGGTGGTGCACGCCTGTAATTCCAGCACTCGGGAGGCTGAGGCAGGAGGATTGCTGTGTGTTTAAGGCCAGCCTGGGCTACAAGGTGGGTTCAAGACCAGCCTGAGCTGCACAGCAAAACCCTGCCTCAAAAAGATTATCCCCTATCAGGAGCTGACTGAGTTCTTCCAGATCCCCCATCAGCAATGATTTTCCAACCGAGCAGGGCACCCACTTAGCCAGAGCTCCGTCAGGGTCGCTGAGGTTGATCGCAGCATCTGGTCCCAGCAGCTTCTCCAGGTGGGAAGCAACCAGCTGCTGTTTCAGGGCTGCCAGCTGCTTAGCCAGCACCACGGGAGTCAGCTTCTCCTCACTGGCTGACTCCTTCACCGCTGTCTGGTATGAGAAAGAGGCAGATCACGTGGGACGGCAGGAACGAATCAAGACAACAAAAAACATCAACACATAAGGACGGCTGGGCTGAAGGCAGTTTTTAGCACAGCAGACTGTCTACTAATAACTCTGAACGTAGATGCACGTGTATCCCCAAGGCCTGGGAACTTTGGCTCCCTCACTCAAGGAGGTAGGGAATCTGCCTTCCTCTGGGAGGTCCTGCTCTGCTATGTAAGCCACACAGCAGAGGAGGGGAGAAGAGAATGTATAGTTACCTTGATTTTTTCCACTTCAGTTGTCAGCTCTTGGACCTCATGCAGTAGTCGCTGATACTTTTGCTGAGGTGTCTCCTTTACTGCCAGTCCCTCTCCAAGCTAGAGAGCAAACACAGAGGGGGATGCCACACCTCCCATTACAAAGAGCCTCAAGAATTTGTCCAAACCCTAGGCCTAAGTCGTAAGGTATCATGTCCAACACCTGAACGCTTAACATCTTGCTACAAAAAGAAATGGAGACAGCCAGAGGCCCGGAGGCTCCCCAGAGCTATCAGGCGTGGCAGTGGGGAGCAGAACATCACCCACTACGCCCCGCCGGTTTCCTCAGGACCTGACCAGAGAAACTCAGAACCCTGAACGCACCCCTTTGATCTCCCTGCTAAATGTCTGCTAGATAGGGTCACCACACCATTCCCACCCCCACACACAAAACAAACCATCTCATAGTCTCCAGACTCGTATCCTGTTCTCTTGGTTTTCCCAATGCGATCTGAGAAATCTGCCAAGAAAAGAAGACCGGACTGAGGGCCTGGTGTGGAGCTAGGGTCATCCTATTTTCAGGTGACTATGCCGGCTCACCACAGAGCGACCCCTTCTCTGGAACAGAAGTCACTGAGATCGGCGGATAGGAAGCCACGCTTCGTGTCTGTCCTCCCAGCTCCCCCTCCCCAGCTTCAGCTTCGGCTCACCAAGGCCCTTTGTCCCCACTCTCTTGTCCTTGAACTTGTCGTAGGCAGCGTTGGGGTTGACAATGATGTGCTCCACACTTGTGCTCGTCAGCTCCTCCTGCAGGAACAGGCAGCTCAGACAGAGGAGGCAGACTCACGCCCACCCGAGAACTTCCTCTAGCCCACAAAACCCCGACCCACCGGGAGACCGAGCCCGATTTTTCCAAGAGGAAAGAAGGGTGGCTCCATTACAAACTGCTGACCCAGGCTCAGTCTAGGAAACAGAAGCTTCCTGGTAAATTCGGAGCCTCAGTTGTATAAATATTACACCCTGATTCAGCCGGGAACAGAGGCAGCAAGCCTCCCCACCCACTCTGTACATACCACCCCCCACCCTTCCCGGCGATCTGGCACGCAACATGCACTCAAGGCAAGAAACCAGCACGACCTCTTCAACCTCCCCCTCCCAAAAGTACGTCCCTGCCAACTGAGCAAGTCCATTTTAAAGCTGACCTCCCATCCTTGCTGGAGGAAAGAGGAAGAAAGGCAGACAGGCCAATTATCTCGGAGTATGAATATTAAACGTGCTGAAGGTAAGATACCAGCTCGCAGATACAAAAGGAGGGTTGGCAGAGGGCCTGACTAGAAGCCTAGTTTCTAGGCTGCCGTGAGGCCAGGCAATTTAGAGGACAGGGAGAAGAGCAGAGGCTTACTGGCTTATTTTTAAAAGGACATCTTGGAGGCAACAATCATGAACAATAGCAGCTTGCCAGGAACACCCTGGGCAAGGGTTACATGTGAGCCCTGCAAAGCAGACGGTGCAGCCCTTCTCTCAGAGGAGCACCGTACCTACTCTCTCCCCCTGACGCCTCTGCGCTGTCCCAAGAGCTGAAGCTCTACCATAATCAGGGACTCGGCAGACAGAATGAAAAGACACTGTAACCTAGAAACCAAAACACAGGTTTTCTCCTTACTAAGCATCAACTTGTTCAGCGTCCAGTAACTACACCAGCACTGGGCACTCCTGACTCACACCCCTCCTCTACTCAGGAGCCTAAGAGCCTCCCATAGAGTAATGAAGGCAGGGGAGACACTCAGGAGTCCTTGTTTATTGTGGTGGGGGGACACATCCCCCTTTCACAGGAGGGAGCAAAATGAGTCTTCTTTCTTTCACCTAGAAAAACAGTTCTGGCAGGGCTGGTGGCACACGCCTGTAATCCCAGCACTCGGAAGGCTGAGGCAGGAGGATGGATGTGAGTTTGAGACCAGCCTGGGCTACAAAGTGAGCTCAAGGCCAGCCTGAACTGCATAGTGAGACCCTGTCTCAAAAAGACCAAAAGGAAAAAAGAAAAACAGTTCACAACCCTGGTTCTACATTAGAAACATTTAAAAACATATTTTTTTAATGGCCTGTGACCACTTCTTAGATGTTGATTTAATTGTTACAAGGCAAGGCCAGATACCCAAGTGATTCTGATCACAGCCAGGAACCTCCAGGAACCTCCGCCTGTGTGTGGGTGTGTGGGAAGGGGGAGGGCAGGCGGGACAGAGAGCAGCAGATAGAGGCAGGCTCTGTCCCTCACCTCTCTACTTTGCTATTAGAGAAGGAATCAGTGTGGGTGGCAGCTTTAAAGATAAGGGGGAAAAGTTAGACCTATCAATTTTGATCTCTAGCTCTTCTTTAGGGAATTGCTAGACAGAGGGCAGAAGCCACAGACCAAGGGAAAACAAAAGGGCCCAATGTCCTATATGCAAATCCCAGGGGGAAGAGATATTTGAGTCCCAAGTAAGTCTCTCTTTAACCTTCACTGAAATGGGATAGCCAGCGCACCCACACAGAAAACAGCTGTGTGGTCTCTGGTCTCTAGAAACAGTCTGAGAAGGATGCAGGCTGAGGATGATAACTTTCTCTGAAGCTGCTGCTTAAGAATATATGCCACTTCTCCCGTGAGAGCTCCAGTCAAAGGCTGATAGAGCAGAAACCTTTAAAAAAAATTTTTTTTAATGGCTGGGCATGGTGGCACACACGTGTAATCCCAGCACTTGGGGAACTGAGGCCAAAGGATTGCTTCAAGTTCAAGACTAGTCTGGGCTACACAGTGAGCTCAAGGCCAGCCTGAACTGCATAGCGAGACCCTGTCTCAAAAAATAAATACATAAATAAAAATAAAAAATTTTAAAGTAACAACAAATCCTCCTAAAAAGGTAATTTTTTTAAAAAAGAAAAAAAAAAAAAAATGAAGCTGGGCATGATGGTGCACACCTATAATTCCAGCACTTAGGAAGGCTGAGGCAGGAGAATGGCAGGTTTGAGCCCAGCCTAGGCAATTCAGCAAGTCCCCGTCTGAAAAAATAAAAAGGGCTGGGGATGTAACTCAGTGCAAAGACCAGGTTCAATTCCCAGTATGGGAAGGAAAAAGAAAAGGAAGGAAGAGGAGGACTGGGACTATAGCTCAGTGGCAGAGGTCACACCCAGCATGCTCAAGGGCCTAGATTCAATCCCCACACCGCACACACAAAAAAACGAGAGGCATAATCTGCAGACCAAACAGAAAACACAGTCACCATCGTTAAGCCCTTATAATGGGTGAGTAATATGCAGATGAGAACCTGCTTTTTATTTATGTCCCTAAACAAACAGGAAAAGAGGAGGAGGGAAAGTGGGGAGTACAAAGGGGGCAACACAGAGAAGGTGGAGCTCTGAAGTTCTAGACAGCCACGGGGAGAGACAGCACTTTCACCCCTGTCCCTTGCTGTTTGAGAACGACCTGGCCAGGAGGGCTGCCGGCGCTGGCATCCTCTTGGATCTCTCTGGGATCCCTCTGCAGCCCAGGGGGACTCAGGTGGGCAGCACGTGCTAGTCCTCCAGCAGCTCCTATTCTGCCAAGGTCTCAAAGGTGGGGGGCATGGGCTGTGACAGGGTCACTGCGGTGACTTAGGAAAAGGACGTCCACTGGGTGCTGGCCTGACTAGAGGGAGGAAGGACTGAGCGGAGACCAGAGGACAGAGAAACAGCTGCCCAGCACAGCACACCCCGTTACAAAGCAGACGGAAGGTCGGGCTTCTTACCAGCTCCTTGCGGTTTCCCCAGAGGTGAGAAAAATCAAAAGAGTTAAAAGGAAGGGGGTGGGGGAACGGGAACAAGGGAGGGAAAAAAAAGACAAAATTGTTATTAGCAAATTGTCACATGCACTACATGACAGTCTTCAAACACACTGTACCACAAGGTCCCAGGGGAGCCTAGCAAAATTAGAGGGCCGAGAATCAGCTAGATACCCCAACAGAAAGGAGACCGTAGACCCTTTCCTTCTCTGGTGGTGAAGATGTCATGAAGCATCGGCATCACAGCACCAATTTAGAATCATCTGAGAATGAGGAGTTAGATGTTACAAGCTGGCGGCAGGAAAAGGAAAGTGCAGGAAGAGAAGGTGGAGGTGCAGGGGAAGCTGTAGAAATGGCGGAATGTGCAGCAGAGGATGTGGAGATTCTGAGGACATGTAGCTGCCTGAGGGTCCACGTTCTCGGGAGGGGGCTTCCCTCATTAGATCATGGTCCAAGTCCTCCCGTCTCCTGGTTCCTCTAGTGAAACACTGGACATTTAACATCAGAGTAAGGTCATAAAGAGGGCGGCTCCTCCGGGTTGTCTGACAGGGCTTTAGGTTAGGCAGAACGAAATGTGTCAGCTGGGCTGGGGATATAGCTCAGGTCGTGAGTTTGATTCCCAGTACCAAAAACAACAACAACAACAAAAAAGTGTCAGCTACCCAGCGCCAGTTTAAGGAAATAGGAAGCATCTAATTGCAGTCCCATTCTTATTTCCTGTTGCAGAGGAGGACAGGCAGGGCAATCTGGTCCTTCACGAGTCTGTCTCGGGTTTGTATCCATTCTGAGCGGCTGGTAACTTGTCCTGCCACTCTGAGTGATGCTTTACAATTCTACAGCGATTTACTGGCAGAAAGAGCCCAGTGGATACCAAGAATCAGATACCAGCCTATGTATAGAACATGGTTCTTAAACCCGGTCTGCAAGATTTACAGGGGCTGGAGCATGGACAAGGGGGAAGGGTGAGAGCATTTCAAAAAGGTCTTATTTTAGTACAACCTACATAGATAAGGTCTTACTTCCAGACAAGACTGGCTTAGAACTGCTACAAGGGCAAATCTAGCAGTATGCCCTGCCTGTGAGGGGCCCTGGTGATAGGCAGATGGCAATGTGGGAGACTGGGGATGGTTACGTACACACGAAGACCTGTAGGGGGAGAAAGACAAGGGATTCCTATCCCAAGGTCTCCGCCAGATGTACCTGACCTCAACTCTGCACTCCCCGGCCAGGGCCAGGGTCCAGGGCAGCCAAGACTTCTAGTACAGGACTGAGTGGCTCCAGGTCCTGTGGTCGGGGCTGAGTTCTGCACACAGAGGGCCTAAGCGCTCACGGTGCACACATGCACATGCTCGGGGGACAGCCCAAACTTACTGTCTCACTGAGCTACAGCCAGCACGGGAGAAACTCAAGGAGAAGGGTGGGGGGGATCGGCCGTAAACTTACGCTCACACCATCGGAATGGGCGGAACAGGGAGCACAGGAAAGTCCAAGGACAGTGGTGCACTGGTTTCCAGCAGCACGTACCACCTCCGGGGCCGTCTGATGAGGTGGCGGGGACTGAGGGGGGATGGTGAGCTTGGGGGATGACGCGTTACTTGAGGCAGTAACCGTTCCCATGGAAATCTAGTACAGTGGGAGCCCCCGTGACTGGGATATTGCAGGTGGCCTGGTCCAGGGGGCCAGTTTACTTGGTACGAGACTCCCAGTCCCTTTCACTAGCAGGCGGCTGTGCCTCAGCGGGAAGACCCCAGGTTCTGAATGAGACCGGGGAGGCGGCCGCGGCTGCCCTCCGGAGCCCGTTCAGGTTCTCTGCCAGGGCGGCCGCAGCGCGAGGGAGGCGTCTTCAGAACCACGATGGCAAGGAAGGTGGCGAGAGCTACAGACTAAAACTGTCCACGATGGACCAGCGTAACGCTGACCATCCATCCATCTCTGCAGGAGGGACACAGAAACAGAAAGGCTCGCAGAGCACAAATCGCCCAGATTATCTGAAAATTGCGTATGAACCTTCCTTCCCATCCCATTACCCTTTTCTAGAATAGAATATTAAATGAGGGGTCTTGCCCCAGGGGTAATGCACGCGTAGCTAAGACGTGAAGACTTCTGCTGTCTCCCTTGTCTTCCACCCTCATTTACAACAGCTCAAAGTCACTCCAAAAAACTCTGTTTATTCCCTTTGGTGTCAAAAGGAAAAAAGAAACCCCCTTCAACTTAGTCCCTAAACACCTCACGTTTACAAGCCTTCCCGGCCTCTGTGTTTCCATCCCATCCTCCATGGGACAGTCTGATTCTGCAGCTCTCATAAGGGGAAGAGACAATGATTTGTGGATCATAGTTTTTTTAAAACCTTGATTAATGATCTTTAAACGTAAGGCCAGCAGACCCCTCCGTGACCCAGCTAGGGACCCACCAGAATTTAAACTGATTAGCTACAATTGCACAGCGGCAGAGCATCACATGCGAGATGGCAGATAGAAAAAAAAAAAACATGCAGAGAAGAAGCATTGAATGGTCTTACTTGTGCAAACTAGTGTCCAGGCGGGGTGGTGAGGGAGGATGGGGGAAGCATTAGGAAAAACTCAGGTAAGTTCAAGTGCGCCAAAAGTCAATGAACACATTCAAGCATTTTCCATATTCTAAGCTGTAAGGGAGAGAACCTTCTGTTTCTCTTTTTTTTGGTACCAGGAATCGAACTCAGGACCTTGCACTTGCCAGGCAGGCACTGTGCCACTGAGCTAATCCCCGGCCCTCAAGAACTTGCTGTTTCTCATCTCAGACTATGCTGGAATTCCACCAAGCTAAGGCCAGGTAACTTTTTTTCCTTTTACGTGTCACTGGGAATAGTGGTGCCATAAAGGGAAAACTTCTAGTTTCTAGCGAGGCTTTCTGAACTTACACCCCTTGCTTCAGCAGTTCAAAATCCACAAGCACAATGCCTGGCTGATCCAAGAACACCTCACTGATGGCTTCAAAAAGAGGGCACCTCCACTTGGGAATTAGCGTCCCTAACAAAACATTTTAAGAAAAGTTTCAAGCCAGACTAAGGGGTGCTTGCCTGTGAAGCCAAGAAACTGCAAGTTCAAGGCCAGTTCAGGCAACTAAGTAAGATCTTGTCCAAAAGAAAATTTAAAAAGGTCTAGGAGAAGCACGGCATGGTAAGCCCAGCACTTGGGAGGCTGAGGCAGGAGGACTGCCACGAGTTTGAGGCCAGCTTGGCCTATATAGTGAGCTCAAGGCCAGCCTGAACTACATAGTGAGACCTTGTCTCAAAAAAAGGGCTGGGTATGGGGTGTGGTGATGTATGTTTGGGAGGCTGAGGCATGAGGATAGCAAGGTTGGGCCCAGCCTGGGCAATTCAGCAAGACTGTCTCAGAATAAAAGACCAAAAAAAAAAAAAAAGGGCTGGGGATTCATCTCTATATGAAGGCCCTTGGTTTAATCCATAACACTGTGCAAAAATGCAAAAGTAAAAAAAAAAAAAAAAAGCCTGGCATGATGGCGTACGCCTGTAATCCCAGCACTAAGAGGCTGAGGCAGAATGATTGCTGTGAGTTCAAGACCAGCCTGGGCCACAAAGTGAGTTGAAGATCAGCCTGAACTGCACAGTGAGACCCTGTCTCAAATAGACCAAAGGGAAAAAAGTTTCCAAATGAGCCCATTGCCCTAATCAATCCAAGAGTATCTAAAATGCAGAGATCTGTCTAGATTGAGGAGGAAAGGGCTACCTGTGGCATTTTATCTCAGAGTACTTTACTTCTTGCTGAACTTGTTTTAATGGGATTTTAAGAAAAAAAAGTCAGGACCATCTACAGCAAAACTAAAATCTCCTACTACTTTTGTTTTGTTTTGTTTTTTTGTTTTTCTCCGGTACCGGGAACCGAACTCACGACCTTGCGCTTGCCAGGCAGGCGCTTTTGCCGCTGAGCTAAATCCCCAGCCCGTCTCCTACTACTTTCTTGTCCCATTCTCCCTACAATGGGATTCGTAAGACTTACGTCCAAGTTAAATTAGCAACTCAGATATTAAAGGGACATTAGAGGACACTATGCCCTTCAGTAGTCCAATTTCTTCCACGATGGAGAAACCAGAGGAAAGAAGTTAAAGGACAGTGAGAGCCAACAATACTTGACATCCCTTAAATACGAATGTGGAGACCTTCTAGAAGGTTCCACAAATGTTACCTACATGTACGAATTCCCCATGACGAATGTACATATCATGTACTGCAAACATGTGCTAACAAAAATTTTAAAATCAAAACTTTTTCAGAAAAAAAATGTTTCAGAAAAGGTTCTACAAAAATTGGCTAAGGTGGACATGGTAGCACATGTCGTAATCTCAGGTACTCAGGAGGCCGAGGCAGGTTGTTTGCAAGTTGGAGGCCAGCCTGGGCAACTTAACGAGACCCCATCTTCAAATGTAAAAAGGGCCGGGCATGGTGGAGCATGTGTATAATCCTAGCACTCTGAAGGTTGAGACAAGAGGACTGATTATGAGTTTATGGCCAGCTTGGGCTACACAGTGAGACTCTGTTTCCAATAAATAAAAAATTTAAAAACTCAATGGTACAGTGAATGCCTAGCATGTACAAGGCCTAGGTTCAATCCATAAAACCATAAAAAAAAAGAGAGAGAGTGAGTGCTGGGGTGCTGTGCACACCTGTAATCCCAGCACTGGGGAGGTTGAGGCAGGAGGATCACTTCACCTTCAAGGCCAGCATGAACTGCATAATAACACCATCTCTCAGAAAAAAAAAGAGAAGTTGGCCACATTGATTATCTTCAGGGAAGGGGACCTGGGAGGGGTGGGAGCAGGGGTGGGAGAGGCTTTGCTACACAGCCTTAAATTTTGGTTCCCTGTGCATATATTACTTATTTTAAAACTAATAAAATTAAAGTTGAAAATAACCTGGAGACTAAGGCAGAGAATGTGGTTGCCAGGTCCTAAGAAAGTGACTGCAAACCTCACGGTTCACCCGCAAGAGTGGAGAAGTGCACAGTCGCCTGTGCCAGGTCTTGGGCAGGCTGGAGAGAAGGGGACAGGCTGCTGGGGAGAGTGCAGCCCTCGCGGACACAGTGCTTCTGGGCTGGCGAAGCATAGACTCATTGGTCCTCAAGTTGCACATTTACATCAGTATTAAGAGCAACAGCAGAACCATTACTCAGCTGATTTCCCAAAAGCTGCCTTCCTGAGGCCCACAGGGACTTGTAGGGGGCCAGACATTAGCTGACATCAGGAAACATGCGGGCTCCTAAAGCAGCTGAAGGTCTCCCTATCCCACCTACTCCTCCCTAATGATGGAGTCATTTACCCAGGCCTAGGGGATGGGGGCAATTTAATTCCTTGACCAGCCTCCTTGGCAGCACGCCTCAGGAAATGAACACTCATGGTGTCCTCTCCCCATCCTTAGCTCTACCCAGTCGCTACTAAAATAGGCTGTTCAGGCTGGGACTGGGGAGGGAACAGCCAATCAGAACGTCATATTCAGGTTCTTCCATCCCTAGAATGGGTATCATCTTCTTATTAAGAGCTGTCCTAGTACTCTCAACAGGAAAATTACAACTTTTATTGTTGTCTGGAAACTGCTGTGATACTATCCATTCAAATTACAGCCAGGGACAAAGGGGCATTACTTCACCATGAAGGCTTGATACTGCATAGGCAGAGGCCTAGGCCAGAACTAAGTAGTCTCTGAACCGTGCTAGTACAGGGAACTCCTCAGCGTACACGCTCCTACCCTGTCAGGTGGGAGGCAGCTTTCTCCCAGGATATCTCTTGGAGTGACAGGTGCACACTCAGGTCCTCGGGCAATGACATCATCTGCATTATCTCCAGATACTCAAGCCTGGGGGACAGACTGACATGCCAGCAAATACAGAAGCCACAAGAAACACATCACTGAGAAAAGCTATGGGGAAGGTGTTTACCACAATGTAGAAAGCACTTCCACATGAGGGAATAAAAAAAGGAATAAGTGAGTACGCCAAGCCATACGTAGAAGCCAGCAACCAGCAGTCCCCAGAACTAACCAGCCCCACAGACACGGCCACAGGACTTACAGACACACATACTGGGGCTGTCTACGGAGCCTGTTCCTGTGACTCTTGGTCACACCTTGAGTGAGACCTCACAGCATCAGTGTGACTCCAGCCCAGCTCTCTATGCAAATAACAGAATCTAAAATATAATCTATGAGACATGCTGATAGATCTTTATCCCCAGGACACTTACGTAAGTTTTTGTTGTTGTTATTGTTCTAGGAATCAAACTCAGGACCTGGCACTTGCCAAGCAGGTACTGTGCCACTGAGCTATCTCCCTGACCCTACACAGTTTTTACTATGGTAATTTTCATTCAATTTTGGTTTTTCTCATGTTTCCTAAATGTTTCCTCTATATACCCATCTCAGCATTCCCCAATGTTTCCTGTATGTAGCCTAATCCTCTGTTAGTCTGGGACTCCTTGAGGGTAGGGACATTTCTTCCTCTGCACTGCACAAAAATCAGCAGAGAAGGAACACAATCAATCAATAATGCTAAGTGATTCCATTATGGTTAAAGTGTGTCCATGGCTAAGTCTTTCCTCTTCAGAGTTCTTGAATCTGAAAGTGTTGCTGTGACCTCTCCTCTGCTGAAATGAAAGATTTTAAACTTTATTTTGCTCTGACCAGATCAGAGATTTTATCTGTCTAAAACTTCCAAATCATTTTCTAACTCCTTACCCTACAGACACTGGATATTCATATAAAAGTACTTCTGGCTGGGCATGGTGGCGCACCCCTGTAATCTCAGCACTTGGGAGGCTGAGGCAGGAGGATCATTGAGAGTTCGAGGCCAGGCTGGACTACAAAGTGAGCTCAAGGCCAGCCTGAACTGCATGGCGAGACCCTGTCTCAAAAAGAAAAAAAAAAAAAAAAGTACTTCTGTACACTTCAAAGTCTAGTTCTTGGTAGGGTACTAATAAACATGTACTGAATGAAATAGTTCATAAAATAAAAGGCTTACTTCCTAATGCCAAGTAGACTATAAGTGATTCACTGTTTTGTTTTGTTTTGTTTTTTGAGACAGGGTCTCACTACACAGTTCAGGTTGCCCTTGAACTCACTATGTAGCCCAAGCTGGCTTTGAACTCATAGTGATCCTCCTGCCTCAGCCTCCCAAGTGCTGGTGCTGCAGTGATTCATTGTTATAGGTCAGAACTCAGTAACCAAACTAAGTCGCTAGTCCCAAATGTAATTGTTTTAAGATATTTCAATATTATTTAAAAGGCCATAGCTGGGCATGGTGGCACATTCCCAGCTATTTGGAAGGCTCAGGCAGGGCTCACAAGTTCAAGGCTAGGTTGGGCAACTTAGTGAGACCCTATCTCAAAATAAAAACAATGAAAAGGGCTGGGATACAGTTGAGTGGTAGAGTGCTTACCTAGCACGCACAAGACCCTGGCTTCAACCCCAATACCAGAAAAAAAAATTTTTTTAAAAAAATAAAATAAAAGGCCCGAAGAGTCAGGGCTTTATAAATAGATCTTGTTAGCTGTAATTCCCCTGACTTGACACTTCCTGGCACTGGTCACAGGTGGCTGCAAGCCCAGCAGGGCCTTAAGCCCTGCAATGTACAGACCACCCAAGTGGGGTTGGCATACCCGCTTATTGCTGTGGCTCCCCTCCCGGGAGAAGAGAAAGGATCTAATTGGGGGAGCGAGATTAGAGCTCAGAGGAATCCGGAGGCAGCAGTCTTACCGCATCAAACTCCGCTTGATCATCCTCAGGTAGGTCGCTGGTTTCATACACATCTGGCTCGTTTCTGGCCTGCAGGCAGAAGCAGTGACCGCCCAAACTCACTACCTAGCACCCACCAACACCCCTCACCCCACTCCATTTAAACAAGCCAGTGGAGAGGGGAAGCCACAACGCCACATTCCGTCCTCTCTTCTCCACCTGCCCCACGAACGGCAAGCCAGTTCCCGCGTCTCAGCGGGGTGCAGATGTCAGCGGGGTGGAGATGTCAGCAGGTGCGACTGGGGCCGGATGGTACACGGAGTGATGGAGAGGGCCGGGTCCTTGACAATCATTTGGTTCAAAGTAGGTGAAGGCCATCCTCACACCACTCCCACGGCGCAGGGGTTCCAAGTGACTCAGGTCCTCCGTTCCCGGAGTCCTGCGCCCCAGCCCCCAACCCTGGGACGCGGGCGAGGCCGCACGAAAGGAGGCGTATGTGCCCGCTTGCGCGTCTGGGGAGAAGGGTCAGACGGACACGGGTCCCTAAAGGACGGAGCTCCTCGCGGGGCGCAGGAGGGTTCGGCCACCGTAACCGCCCTCGGGGGGACGCAGGCCGTCCCTAAGGGGGCCGTACGGGGAGGTCCGGGGCGGCACGGGCAGTGCTGACCGGACGCCAGAGAACCTCGGGCCTCTGGGCCAGGAAACCGGCGACAACCGGAAAGGGGGCCCGGAGCTCCGCCCGGTGGCCCGGCCCAGCGGGGTCAGGCGTCCGGAAGGCGCTGCAGCCGGCCGGGAAGCGAGCCGGGCGGACGAAGGGCCGCGGGCGGCAAGGGCCGCGGGCGGTATCTGGTAGGGGGTCCTCGGCAGGCCGGGGGCGCGGTCTTGGGGACCCGGGCCGGCCCTGTACTCACAATGCCGGGAAGGTCGGCGTACTTAGGGTCCGCCATGGCGGCGGCCAAGCAGGGCTGGGGGACCAGAGCCTCGGTTGAGCCGGGGCCGGTAACCGGGTAAGGGAGAGGCTGGGTCCGAGTCCCCGGCTAAGGCGGCGGCCAAGGGAGCGGCAGGTCAGGAAATCTCGCGATAGCGGTAGCTCGGCAGCAGGGTAAAGCACAAGTCGCGAGAACACCCGCTACCACACCCCTAGAGAGGCTGGGATTGGCGAGAATGAGGCCGGGGGATGAGGTAATGGCGAGGGGGCGCCGCCTAGGATTCTGGGATATGTAGTCCTGGGCGCACCGGTCCAAGAATAACCATATGCACCTGACTATTTCACACAACTTATTTTCTTTCATTTTTTTTTTACATCAAGTCTGTGAAAGAATTTTATATTTTCATTTTCTTGCACTGCCAGAAATTAAGCGACTAGAAATCACGCAGCTGGTCACGTTGTGATATAGCGAGGGCTTCAAAAACATTTTCTCTGGGCGTAGTGGTGCATGTCTGTAATCCCAGCATTTAGGAGGCTGAGGCAGGAGGATTGTCACGAGTTCGAGGCCAGCCTGGGTGAGTTCGAGGCCAGCCTGGATTACAGAGCGAGACCTTCTCTCAAAAAACCAAACCAAACCAAACCAAAGCCAACACACACACACACACACACACACACACACACACACACCAGTAACATTTAGTAAACACTGTAGGTTAACAATGGAAAAGTTAAGCACTCTTCTCAAGTTTGGGCTGCCAGATAAGATACAAGGTGCTTAGTTACATCTGAATTTCAGATAACGAATAGAGTATTGATTCTTGGTTTTTTATTCCTATGTTTGTTTTTTAGTATGCCTCAAACCATATCTGAGGCATACACATACAAGACATGGTGGCGCACACCTGTAATCCCAGAACTCAGGAAGCTGAGGCAGGAGAATGGTTGCAAGTTCGAGACCAGACTGGGCTACAAAGTGAGCTCAAGTCCAGCCTGAACTGCATAGCGAGACACTGTCTCAAATATATATATATATATATATATATATATATAT